AATTGCCACTGTTGCTTATTGATGTTTGTCACTAATTGGTTTCCAGTAACGAGACTAATTATGTTATCACTCATTAGACACCCAGAGCTAGTAGAGTATAACCTCTGTTATCAATCTGTTTAAACTCTTCCGGGAAAATACAAACATATGTCTCAATACCATCAAATGGAAGTACAATAATAGGCCAAGAAATCTATTGCAACGTACGTTATTTATTGGTAGACAAATATTTTATTCGATATACTACTTTTACTCAATAGGTGCTGTGGACAATAAATTATCTATTCAAATAAATAGTAAACTCTTACCTTAGCAATCCTTATTATGGTTGTCCGATATTAATTTCAAACCCGTAGGTTCATCTTCAGTCGGAAGTTTAGGTAGACCAAATGCTTATTATAAAATCCACCCGATGGGTTTCGTAGAAATGTTGACATTTAACACGAACACGACACACATTACAATTGACATAAATAATATTCGGAGTTTAGGGATAAAAACCATGGTTTTATAAAACAGTGGGATAACCTCACTTCAGTCAGGGAACACACTGCTGGAACATGCTGCCGCACTGAGTTCTACCCACTGTTTTATAAAACCATGGTTTTTATCCCTAAACTCTGAATATTATTTATGTCAATTGTAATGTGTGTCGTGTTCATGTTAAATGTCAACATTTCTACAAAACCCATCGGGTGGATTTTATAATAAGCATTTGGTCTACCTAAACTTCCGACTGAAGATGAACCTACGGGTTTGAAATTAATATCGGACAACCATAATAAGGATTGCTAAAGGTAAGAGTTTACTATTTATTTGATTATATAAGCAATCCAGAGGCTGAAATGATAGTTATCTATTCACATGAAACATTAATAATTCAAACTAAAAATATTTATTGAAGCATTGTCGAAATCAAGAATATTTCGAATAGGTGTGAAGAATATTTTGTTGTGGGTTTATTTATGGTTTTAGGTATTGTTAGTGACCTAAAAGCCTTCAGATAAGCCATGAATTACTACCCGCTTATATCATCGTCTAACCTACTTTTATGAAGTTTCCTCGGAACTAATGTAGTCATACTTATCTGACAGGAAAAGTAATGTAAAGTTTTAACCAACATTGCTTTGTAACAATGTCTAAGAGAATTAATATTAACATTTTCATGTTGAGTCTACAATTTGTTTGAAAAATCTTATATTTCACTAATTTATTTTACAATCTCTGTACCTGAATTGAATGGCTAGCCTTATACTTTGAAGGTTGCTGCTTCGACCCTGGACGGAGTCGATTCTTTATGATTACTTTTAAGTGTCACACACATAGGTGTGTATTTTAAGCTAAATATGAATGAAAAAATTAATGTAGAATGGAGTGAGGTCTTTGTAGTATTTTAATGACTAAGATCAGCTGTTTCTTGTCCAGAACCAATTTATTAAATGCCCAACAATAAAGGACAGCTGGGTCCAGTTTTGAACCATCAAAATGCTCAAATCAAATTAGATTAATTTGCCCAACAGTTTTACAAACAAAATGACAACTAAAAAAATCTGGAAAACTTAAATAACAATTGAATTAAAAAGGTATTAATTCAAAAAAATATTAATGATGCTCTATTAATAATCTAAATTATGCTATAAAAGGCCGTTAGAAAATAACAGGATCATTGTTTGGACTGTTCCCCCATATACCATTCAAAAATAGAATAGCATTCAATCACACTGCAAACGTCTGCTTTAAACACTTCAAAAATGTTTAACCAAAGCCGTTTACAATGTTATCTTTTGTCAGCGAGTATTGCAACCGTTCTAACGCAATGTAGCCCCAACACAAATGCAGATGAACCAACCGTAGGACAATACGTGTTCAATGGTAATATGAATTAACATGTTAATAGGAACGGAGCCACGGAAGGGTTTCCAGGTTTCTGCCGAATCTCGTTAACTCTGCTACGGAACATTTCAGAAAGTTACAACTTTGTTGAATGAGCTTAGTGTTTATTTTATGGTGTTTTAATGTAATTCTCATTTGTTTAGGTTTTTTAAGAGTGCAGTCCAAACATAAGTCTACATCTAATAAATATTTCGTAAGAGATCTCCGTTAATGATAGCACAATGCAAATGGTGACTGAGTCTAGTAACAACCTTGCTTGGAATCAAACCAGGAATCGAACCAGCGACCTTTAGATTTGAAGGCAAACCCTATAACCACTCAGCTACCCAGACAATTAATGTTAAATATCTTTTGGTATGATGATAAACCCTGGTATTAGATTTGTATCAGGCTAATTTATTTATCATAGCTTGGTAAAGGATGTTATTTTGTTCAATCAATCAATATTTAACAATTTTATTGTTGACAATCATAGTTTCTGATAGTGTGGGCTGGAGTTTATTCACAAGTTAAGAATAGATTGGAGTTAGAGACAAACTAATTTATTTTGTCCTAGGACACTAGGATTTAGCCTAAAATTGTTTTTCACACTACTTCATGCTATGCTTAGTTGATGCATTATCACTTATATACAATTGGCAGGATTTGAACCCAGGACCTCAAGGACCGAGGCAACCGCTCTACCTCTAGTCAAGCTCGATACTCAGAGACCAAAAATAAATACATAACGTGTGTAAATCGTCATACTATTCCATACTTAGTGTGCTTGTAAAACTTGTTTTAAATGTATTTTTATGAGAACTTTACCTTCCCTATGTAACCTAACTTTGTATGTGATAATGATGCCCCAGAGACATAGGAGCATAACAAATGTTGTTTACATCTAAGGAACAAAAAGCGCTGCTAGTATAGTTTATCAAACATAAAAAAAATATATTTTTAACATATTAACAAAAATTTCAAAACATCAATTTTGTGAGACAAAGTTAACTCAATGGCAACAAAGCTGTAATAAATTTTCCTTAAAGGAAACATGTATGATTAAGTATTACACAAAGCTAATTGCAAACAAACTAATATTAATAACTAATTAACTGTTCATGATGTGAACATTTTAAATGGCCATGAAACATGGAATATTACAAACTTTCCCACAGTTCTATTATTGTCTAATTGCTAAGACCCACACAAGAGAGCGCATCGCAGATGATGAATGAATGACATAACAAATGCCACTGCATTCGCCTTGCAACCCGTATAAATAATACTTACATTGGTTGTTTGAATTAAGTTAATTCTAATTTTGTTTTAAGAGTTCAACATTTTGTTTATTTTTAGGTTAAAACAAATTTATTGTTAAAACTTTCTTTTTAATAAAAATCTGTGATCTTGTTATCCTTTGTAGTAAAGAATTATTTGCAACTAGAGTTTAGGTGATCACTAAAATCGTGTATTAATTGTGTAGCCTACCTAAAGTTAATTTCCATTTTTTTTTTACAAATAAACAAAAAAAAACATACAAATGACTTTGTAGAAACTAGCATTTTAACTGTCATCAATGTTTTCAACCATGACCAATTACTGTTGAGAGAAATTAAAAAGGGTTTTGTTTTGAGTCAAGATATTGGTAGTTAGGCTAAATGAAAATTATTAAGGTTTGTTTTTTTACCACAGTATAAATTAGTCTGTTGAAAACTAGAAATTAATTTTGCTTTGTGTTTGAAAATTGTGTATTAAGATTCACCCTTGATAAAAAAAAATCATATTTAGTCTTCATAATAATAAAAAAAAATTTTACCTCCTAGCGTTCATCACATCTTTGCAATATCAATTTTTATTATTAATGATTTTTAAAACTTTACAAAATATACCAAAGCATAAAGATTTCATTTAGAGTTGGAAGACACTTTTCTTATTCATAAAACAGCTTCCATCAAATCTCACGATAATATTACAAAAGTATTACAAGTGAGAACAAAAGAAGAGCACACACCAAAATCCAATTTGTGAGGCAAGTGTAGTGATGCGATGTGATGTGGAGATTGTCGGGGGAGTGGGGGGGGGGGGGGAGAAGTCAAAATGCCAATCGCACCTGGGGGAGACAGGGTCATGTTTAAGTGCTACTTAGACGAATTACAGCTTCCGACAGGCAATGTCACTGTTACACCGTTAGAGCACTTCACTGGAACTGATGCAAGTGAAACTGTTAAGATTTATGTATCTGTACCAACGTTATTGATGTTATTATTTTGGACGTTTATATTTGTACTATAGAATTTGTATATAACAATACATACAATCATAATGCTTTATAAAGATAATATTAGGTATAACCGGGAATAGTTTTTGTACCTATGTTTACCTTTATTTATCTATTTTGCTCCACTTGAATTCTAAAGGGGTTCAAATAAAATCATTTCACTCAATGTATGCGTTTGCATAACTTTTCCACTTGATGTTTTAGGTCATGACTTAGACCTAACCCTGCCCAACAAAGGATTCACAGATAATCATAACATTTCAACCTCAAAAACATAGCGGTAGTCGTATAACGTAAATTATTTTTAGTGTCTAAATAAATATGTTTCATCGCTTTCCGTGCTTCCTCTCCATTCACAGCACGGGATACTGTATATCAGCCAGTATATTTTATTTCATAATCGGTTTTTTTTTAATATTCAATATAGCTAAATGTGTTAAATTTGTGAGTTTAATGTTGTAGTAGTTTCGAATAACATTTCTGATTTACTATGGTTTGAGAAAGTCAATTGAGGTGTTAAATATGTTTTCTGAATTTAGTAATTTACAAGCCATTTTCTCAATCATCATTTTAATTCATTCATGTGTCACCATCAAAAATCCTTTTCTGATACCCCTCTCGGAGAGCTACAGTTTTCCCAATTAAAACAAAAAGTTATACAAACATTAATTGAAATATCCATCTGTAGACAATGATGACATGAAAAGGCCATACAATAACACCAAATTGCAATTATTAATTAATTTAGGGGTTTCTAACGACGATGTAAAACCAGAAGCTCGCAGGTGAGTGGAAGAATCATTCACAATTTGCACTAAAACTAAGATAGAAATTGTAATTTACTCACTTTCATCAGTCTGTGGGGCGGACAGGATGGCACTGTGTTTTTTCTTGACTTCCTCCACATTGGCCTGTATCTTGTCTATCATTTCCCGTATCTCCTCCACCTAAAGAGAAACATACCTTCATCAGCAATTGAATTGACACCATCCTGTATAGATTTTCAAATGCACCATGATCATAAATTTATCAAATACAAACAACTTCAATAGATTGACTAAACACACACAGCATCATCAGTGGTTGATAAAAAAACACACCGTCAGAGATTGATTGACAAACACACCATCAGAGATTGATTGACAAACACACCACTGTCAGGGATTGATTAACAAACACACCACTGTCAGGGATTGATTGACAAACACAACACCGTCAGAGATTAATTGACAAACACACAACTGTCTGGGATTGATTGACAAACACACCCCTGTCAGGGATTGATTGACAAACACACCACCGTCAGGGATTGATTGACAAACACACCACCGTCAGGGATTGATTGACAAACACACCACCGTCAGGGATAGATTAACAAACACACCTCTGTCAGGGATTGATTAACAAACACACCCCTGTCAGGGATTGATTGACAAACACAACACCGTCAGAGATTGATTGACAAACACAACACCGTCAGAGATTAATTGACAAACACAACACCGTCAGAGATTGATTGACAAACACAACACCGTCAGAGATTAATTGACAAACACACAACTGTCTGGGATTGATTGACAAACACACCTCTGTCAGGGATTGATTAACAAACACACCCCTGTCAGGGATTGATTGACAAACACAACACCGTCAGAGATTAATTGACAAACACACAACTGTCAGAGATTGATTGACAAACACACAACTGTCTGGGATTGATTGACAAACACAACACCGTCAGAGATTGATTGACAAACACAACACCGTCAGAGATTAATTGACAAACACACAACTGTCTGGGATTGATTGACAAACACACCCCTGTCAGGGATTGATTGACAAACACACCCCTGTCAGGGATTGATTGACAAACACACCACCGTCAGGGATTGATTGACAAACACACCACCGTCAGGGATAGATTAACAAACACACCTCTGTCAGGGATTGATTAACAAACACACCTCTGTCAGGGATTGATTGACAATCACAACACCGTCAGAGATTGATTAACAAACACACTGTCATTGGGGATAGATTTATAAATAGACCAATATTGGTGATCGATTATCAAACATAACATCATCGGTGATTAACTAATACACCATCCCTAGTTATGTGTAAACAAACACACCTTCCAGCAGGCATTGATTAAATTTCGCTGACACCAGTGGTAAACTAACATCAGGGATGATCAATAAACACATCATCATCAGCTTATAATTAAACAAGAACATGTCTAGTGTCAAACGTTAATAATTTTGAATGAATTATAAAATATCTTAAAACACAAAAGGGTTTTCTCCGTTACATCCCCTTTCCCCCTGTCCTACTGAACCAATTTTGACGATTTAGGTGTCATTTTAAAGCTCATGTTCTAGCGGAGTGACAAATCGTAACCAGAAGGTCCAGAAGGGTGATTTCATTTAAGGCTTCGTCCCTTTAGCATTTAATATCTTTCTAGAGTCCACTTTTAAAGATCAAGTAATTCTGATCAACTTTCTTTACAACGGTTGTAAATGTTTAATTACCGTTGATCCTTAAGTTAAATGTTTAACCACAGTCAGATAGAAAACATCAGACGAAACAGTTTATGAAAAGGGACTTAACATGATTAGCCGAGGATATTTTTAGAAATGATTGTAACCTGATTGAGGTAGGTAAATCAATCTTTTGTGGTATAAATCTACAATAAAGAAATTATATTTATTCTGAATCTGGCAGATTAGTAGTCTAATCTACCTAATTGCTGTCTTCAGCAATCATAACTTTTTAAGTATTAAAGGGTATTGCAGTATTGAGTACATACATCGGAGACGAGTTTGGTGCATAATTTATGTATGGGTGTCCTCGTATAATTATTATCAATATTTTACTAAAAAACAAAGTATTACTATTTCACTCATAACTAACTTAGCCAACAAACCATTATCAGAGAGTATCAAACTGTGATTTTACTACTGAGGACCAAAAAAAAACATTAAGTACAGTGGTCCTATGCTTAGTTCTTATTATGAATATAGCATACACCTATTGGCTACTTCCTTCTTGGAAGTTTGCTGAAAACTATAAAAAAAACTATCTATATTGATTGAGGCCATAAATAGCCTCTGAAATAACTAGGTCATATAAAATTTATAAGACGAATGTGGATTGGCCAAGACGAGACGGACGGTTTATATAAGTCAGACATGCACTGAGCAATTCAGAACAGACAGAAACTGAAGACCTATGAGTCTACGATACATGATAGATTCTCTGGCGAACCGTATATATCAAGTTATGCTGATAGAACCCCAGATTGTCAAGAGTTGTGTGGTGATGTTTGCGATTGTCTTAACCTTTTTCAGACAAGAATACTATTTTGAAAATTTTTTGGAGAGGGATGGATTTTGTAATACATTTATATGAAGACAACAACAAATCTTACAGTTTATGCTGAACATAGGCTTAGTGGTTAATGTCTTGGACTTAGGTGTAGGGGGGACGGGTTCGATTCCCGGAACATTCACTACACGAGGGTTTGGACTGTTTTCTATAAAAGCGTTTTTAAGTACTTCCTTTTGGCGTAGATCAAGAAAAAAATGTTAAACTATTTTTTTACATAAGTTAACTTAAACATCTTTAGGAGAAACATAAAAATTATAAAAAAACACTTAGGGAACCTTGTTTTACCTTGAAAAACAAAATTGTAACTTTGTACAATTTGTAACACAACAAATTGCACTGGGTTAAAATACGGACCCCCATCTCAAATGAACGATAATGATATAGGGACAAAGATTTGTCACTTTAGTGTTTGGTTATTATTTTGTTTACAGCAAAAGAAAGTGTAATAAAACATATTATTTAGTTTAAACTTAGTTTATAAAAGGTTAACTGTAAGAAAGGACCATGTGGTCGTAATATTCCCATTAATAAATATTTTCATTTCATTTCATTATTAAAACGTGTATTTTGTAGGCTTTGAACAAACCAATATCTATGGGTCTGATAAATTACATGAATCACTGAGATGTTATACCCATTATACTAATTAACAATGCAAACACTCATTAGGTTAATTAGTTAGGCTAATCGATTTGTGACTAGGAAAGCTAACAAATTTAAAGAGATATCTCCAAATTTCATTCAGTTAAATTATTGCAGTAGTGAAAAGGTCATATAACTGATTTTAACGATCCAACTGATTTCAATCCAAAAGTGAGCAAAATTTATATACCTATTAAAAATTATTGGGTTTTCTTTTCCGAGTCGGTTTGGCTCTTCTACCCCGAGTGATTTTTCATAATTTTGGTCTTAAATTAAAGGTATGCACGCACATATTTACCATCAAGCATCGTTATTAATTTATCAGTAAATATGTTTTTGAATTCTTACTTCAATTAAAGTAATCAATTAATATATTTCACCAGGTCTAATTACATTATTCTATACATTTTTTGGTGTAAGAACCTTCACTGAAATACAAGCTTTCATTTGAACTTTTGATTATAAAGGTCAGGCGTACCTAAAGCCCGCTGCTGAATCACGAATCAACAATAGGCTTAATTATAATTATTTTAGGACTTATCTGCAAAAGAAAGACCGAAAAAAAGAAAGAAAGAAAGAAAGAAAGACGAGATCAATGATACGTAACACTATTTTTATTTTAGTTATTTTATATGTCTTGATCTTTAAATACCCCTAGAAAAAAAGGAGTTCATTTGAGATATTGATCGTTTGAATCAGTTAAGAGATACCGGTACTGTATTACTCAATTAAAAACCATAAATTTGATTTCTCGGATATGGAAAATTATTTTAGATATATTTATTCAATTCTAACTATGTTATCCTATTTGTTTTGATCCAAGAACCTTCTGTGAAATGCCAGCTTTCATTTGAGCTATTGATTATTAATATTGGACATACTTAAAGCACACTGCTGGATCACGAACAACCCGAAATTCTCCAAAATTGAGCTTATTTATCATTGATTGGTAGTTAAATGATTTTGCTTGAAACCTCAACAGTAACCATTGATTTTGTTGATTTCTACGGATTTCACCTAGTATCTCATTAAAATTATACAAACACAGGCTGAAGTTCTTAAAAATGTAATACCATCTTTTTAGTGATGTTCCTAGTGAAAATTCTTTATAACACACACGCTTTTGGAAAAAATTAAGTCCACATTTAGTCCCCCGATCAAAAATTGATCACTTATTAATAAATGAATAGAATACCCCTGCTGCAGCAAATCTGCAGACTACGTCAACTTTTTGCAGTTGGAATCTCACCCTCCAGTGAAAAAAGTCACAACCAAGGGGGGATGGAAATAGGGTAACCCAAATTATTGGTAAAGGGATTTCTAGTTTAAACTATGTCCTACATCTTCCATCTGTTTCATACTCTCCCTACACTTCCTACACATAAAATACCCCTGCCGCAGCAAACCTGCAGACTAAGTGAATTTCCATTTGCCTGATTGGATTTACACTAAAATGTCTACTTAAAAATATAACATTTATTTCCTATTTAAATAGAATTAGTTTAACAAGTACTTAGGTTTGCTGCATCAGGGAGGGTAAAACTGTTTTTGTTTTTTTTTTTTTGGAAAAATTATTTGTTTTTCTTAAGCTCTACAAAATGGTTTGGAAAGAAATTGAAAAATGTTATGTTTTTTGGGTAAAAAATGGGAAAACCCTATTTTTACCCCATAAACCTCCCCGTAAAGACCCGTTCCCATAGTCCGATCATGCTGGTTCGCGAACTCGTTTGAATAAATGTAGATTTACACGTTTATACCAAATTTAATCAAAATCGGATCATTTTTGCTCGAGTTATCGTGCTAACGGACACTTATATGGAGTACTACGGTAATAGCTTATTCCCTATATGGGAAATTCACCAAAGATAGCCTGCCCAGCAACTTTATTATTACAGTTTAAACACTTTTTAAGTAGAGAGTGCTTTAGAGTGTTGTTTCACATTGTTCTTCTTCATATCAAACCCATCGTTAAACAACTCGAACAACATTGCATATGAATTGAATCAAAGATTAGACATGTGTGACTTACCTCCGCAAAGAACTCGTCCATGAAGCCGTCGCGGCCTTCCACGTTGACCGCAACGTCATCAGGACCGACGTCATCATCATCACTCTGCGCCTGAAACACAAGACATAACATGTAAAAATGTACATCTTTAAAAGTATACTTGACCAACCGCCAATTTGGAGCCATTGATAACGCGACTCGATGATCATTTCTAAATTAAAGAATGCTCTAGTTATCTAGAGGATGTGGCTTTTTGTAAATTAAATCATTAGTTGTCTTGAAAACCCCTTAATCGTAATTGTAAACAAATTTAGAATAGAAAATGGAGGGCGACTCTTTAATAAGTTACGGTAGAAATTACACCTTTCAGGAACTTACATTGTATTTTAAATGGTTTACGATACCTGCATAGTAATCCTTCGTTGCTGTTATGACAACTAGTTTCGGTTCTTCTGAACCATTATCAGGCCTCAAGGTGTCAGATGATCACTTCATTTGAAGGTCGTTAACATAGTTCAATAAATAAAACATATACTAGACACAAAACATAGAACAAATATACGGTTACAAAAATACGAAACACTTGAAGGAACATTGACAAAAAAGAACGTGACCGGGCTGAAATAAAGTCTATAATTGAGTATATTTATTCTACGTTTTTGTGTCTACATATGTTTTATTTATTGAACTATGTTAACGACCTTCAAAGAAGTGATCACCTTGACACCTGAGGATGGTTCAGAAGAACCGAAAGTTATCAAAACAGCAACGAAGGATTACTGTATGCAGGTATCGTATACCATTTAAAGTACAATAAAGAAATCTGGAGGCTTGGGTTGTGTCCAGTTAGGTCAAAATAAACCTAGTTACCACTGTTGTAATTTCATAAACCAGGTCTATAATTTAGTAGCCTCCTAATAGGTGGATTTCCGATGCAATTTACAAAGTGATGTCAGTAGGCTATCCGTTTAGAGGAAAAATAAATGCCAGAACCATTGACATAATTACTTAGACCTTTTCTTAAATAGGCTAGATAGTAGGGAGTCAAACTACAGTAGACTTCCTCTTATCCGGACACCTTTTAACCGGACAACAGTTTAACCGGACTACACTCGGCGGAAATTACATCTCCTTATCCGTACAATTTTTATCAGTACATCTGTTAAACCGGACTAGATCAGCAGGAAGTGGGTGGTACTGAAACGATTGTTCTCGAGAGAAAGATTTGAGGCCAGTGATCACGTGTCAAAATACAATGATCTCATAAATTTAAGTCAAATACTGTATACAGTTGCATTTAAACGGTCCATTTTTCCGAGTTCTTGTGGACGTTGGTTTAAGCGGAAAAAACGTTATCCGGACTGGCCTCGGTCTCGAGGAGTCCGCATAAGAGGGTGTCTACTGTATATCGAAACTTTTAAGGCTCTTCGGATGGTGCCATTTTTTTAGCCTAACTTGAATATTGTTGTTGTCTGTTTGTACTAATAAAATTTGTACCCTACATTATTTGATGTTTGTACGATTTGAATGCTTGGTAATTTGGTGACTTGTGTACAATTAAATAAAGTTATTTGAATAAAAGGTGCTACTTTGTGGTACATTCAAGCAACAATCTTGCTAGCCATAAGAAGCCCGTATTGCCAACATAAAACCACAAAACAGGTCTAAACTAGGTTTCAAAAAGCTAAGAGGACTTTATGCTTGACTTAGCCTAATTATGGTTTAATGAAGATTAAAGAAGCTTAACGCCCATTGAAAAAAGTGCTGGCTCACAAACATTCAATATCTAATAAATGTTTAGCCGGAGCCTATGTAATTAAACATAATAACTCTATATACTGGTAGGTATTAGATGCTACGCAACTTTTTTTTGTCCTAGGACGCTAGGCACGAGCTCGTGATTGTTTTATATTACTTCAGGCTAGACCTAGGGTTGCAGCATTATCACTTAGATAAACTCCATTGGTGATTTGGCGGGATTTGAACCCGGGACCTCACGGACCAAAGTCCCGCCAACCACTATACCAGCTCGCTCCCCCAAACCCCTAAGTTAATTACTGATTGAGATGGCCTAGGCCTAAATTAATTTTAATCATGTTTAATTAAACAAGAATCACAAATAGCCTACAGTAAAACCATAAGAATGAATCTTCATTAGGTAGCCTATACAAACAACTAAGTTCCTGTAACTTAAACTTAAAGTTGATTTGTAATAAAACTTAAATTATTTTTGTTACATTTAAGTTACATGAGCCAGCTGTAGCCTAGTTTTATTCTAAATGTTTAAGTGTAGACTTCTGCAGAGAACCTACGATACCGGTATATTATCGTATGAATAACAATATACATCGAAACTTATTCGTCACGATATATCGATTAGGCCTAGGCCTATATAATTTTTTCTATTGCAAACATTGATTTCAAAATTGGCTTTTGTTGACGTTTTAATTGATACTAGAGGACCCATGCTGCTCCGCAGCGTTAAAATAAATATAATATCTGATAGGTAAATAATCAAATTTATGATTTTTTTATTGAGTAATACAGTATCTTCAGTTTAACTGATTTTAACGATTAATAGATAAAATTAAAGCCTATAATTTACTGAAAATTTTGAGTCTAAAACAAAAAACATGGCAAATGTGTACGTGCATACTTTCAATTCGAGACCTCAATCATGAAAATCGGTCGGGTAGAAGAGCCAAACGAACTCGGCAAAGAAAAACCAAATTTAACTCCCATAAGAAATACATGGGGAGCAAATTTCGTTTTACGTAAATGTCGAGTGGGATTATGGATACATTTATGCCAATGCTTGATGGCAAATCTGTTCGTGCATACCTTCAGAACCAAACAAACTCGGAAAAGAAAAACCAAATTTTTTTAATATAGGCTATAAGATTTAATAAGTTAAATAAAACTATCATCATAAAAACATAACTTAAACACAATTTATTTTATGAAAAGTACGTAACAAAACAAATAATAACCGAAACATAAGATAACAATATTAAGAAATGTAAACTAAAAACCTACAAACCATTTCTTTCATTTTTATTCTTAAATATTAAGTGGAAACTAAGAAATAAAAGCTTTGTTAATGTCTTTGTTGTTGTTTTTATTTACATCATGATGGTAAAATGGGCAACTTTGTGATATTAATATCGAACCAGATAGGTAGGCTACCTAACTATGGTATTTATTGTGACGAACGTGACCATGGGAACCTATATAGAATTATATATCACTAGAAACTAGATTTTTAGCTGAAAATAACGGTGCAAAAATTTTTCCGCGCTCTCAAATATTAACGGAGTTACGGCTGTTTTAAGTTTTATTTACCGGTAGGCCTAGGCTACTTTGTTTGTTTGACCTAACCTATTTATAAGCCTATGAAATGTTCTCTCCAGATACTTGATATACTGTATTACGTTAATTATAAGTAATGATTAAAGTAGAAGACTCACTTTTTACCTGGAAATAACAGTGCAAAAATGTCTCCGAGGCCACGAATATTAACTAAGGTAGGTTTAACTTAAAATAATTTGACGTTTTGATTTCCTTTATCTACCTTCTGCCTTCTATTCTATCTAGTCTGCTACTAGCTACTAACTCTAACTCCTTCTTGCCGCAATACGGAATTCGGGAATTGCGGACTAGACTAACTGTTTGTAGAACTGTACTGAACCGAACTGAAATGAAAATGAAAATACGAAATTGAAGAGTAGAGACATAGATAAAACATACTCCTAGTCTATGGTAGAGATTAAAAATAAGTCAATCAAAGACATTCAAAGTACATGTACTACAAACATCTATCTAAGAAACAACAAGGCGAAGAAACAACAATAAATAAATAAATAAATAAGGCACTGAATAACTTATTTCTGAATGTTTTATGGAGTATGTTTTATCTATGGTTTTATTTAGGCATGTGTGGAAGGCAAGTCGGGCTTATGCGGATTCGTGACTGCATTAAGTGTTTTGAAGTTAGGTTAGATTAGGAAGGTAAAGTGTAGGTTATAGTGAACCGAGTTGATAATTTATATTATACACAGGCAGTTGTTGCGCCATTAAAATACACACTATTTTAATGGCGCAACAACTGCCTGTGTGTAATATAAATTATCAACTCGGTTCACTATAACCTACACTTTAACTTACCTAATCTAACCTACCTTCAAAGGACTTAATGCAGTCACGAATCCGCATAAAGTCCGACTTGCCTTCCACACATGCCTTTTCTGTCATTATACTTATATTTTATGTTACAGCAAGTTTGGTTTGGTTAGGTTAGTTTAGAATAGTTTAATTTTAAAAATAATATGTATTCATAGACTAATCAACGGGGTATCTATGGATTATCTTAGTTTTAGCGTAGGCAATCATAAAGGTGTTTATATAATTTATTACAGTATAATGTCTTTGAGATTAGAGGAAATTTTAATTTTAAACGTATTTGCTTTTGCTTCTCTACTTTGAGCGGAAGTAAGAAGCACGTGAAACAGTTATGTAAACAAATTACATTAATTGTAATTAGCAATATTAATTGTTGAATCACTTCTCGCGCAACAACTTAAGTAAACGATCTTGTTTCAACGTAATAATTGATTGTACATACTAATTTAAAACCTAGTTTCTTTTTTTAACTTGTAGAAAATTGTTATGATTGTTTGTACATACTTGTTTAAAACCTAGTTTATATTTTTTAACTTGTAAAAACTGTTAATGGCAGCGGGTGATTGTGATGGTTGTGTGGTTTCATATGTGGAGGCAGTAAGAAAAGATGAAGGTACAATTTTACAGTTTTTTGTAGACCATGGTGTTTATAGACGTACAAGACGTTGTGGTAACCGTCTGTGTAACAACGAACTAATAATTGACGAGTTTGGCGATTTCATATTTAGGTGCGGGAAATGGTATGAGCCACGAGCTAGGGCAAAAAAGGTTAAGTGTCGATTCACCGCCAGTGGGAAAAAAGGCACGTTTTTTGAAAATGCAAGACTTTCCTTAAAAGACATATTTTACGTTGTAGCTACCGTGCTTTGCGTACCCCCGCTGCGTCAAGACTTTATTCATCAAAACTTTGGCTTAGCCTCTAACACAGTCGTAGACTGGTATTCCTTTTGTAGGGAGGTTTTTGTTGACCACGTCGCAAACCGGGACATTCGAATTGGTGGTGTTGGACATGTAGTGGAAATTGACGAGGCAAAGTTTGGAAGGAGAAAGTACAATAGAGGGCGGTTGGTAGAGGGACAGTGGGTGTTTGGTGGAATTGATCGGGAAACTAAAGAAACATTTTTGATACCAGTTCAAAGCAGGGATAGGGACACGCTGTTGAATGTAATAAAAGAACACATATTACCGGGGACAAAGATAATTAGTGACTGTTGGAGGGCTTACAATTGCTTGGGAGACGAAGGCTACATCCACGAAACTGTCAACCACTCAATTGAGTTTGTAAACAGCACCAATCAAGCCCACACCAACACTATCGAGAGAACGTGGAGGAGTGTGAAGGACAGAATTCCGAGGTACGGGAGGCGGAGAGTGCATTTTGTGGGGTATTTAGCAGAGTATTTGTTCAAGGCTAAATACCCAAACTTAAACAATAGAATCCACCACTTCTGGATCGCCGCAGCTAAGCTGTACCCGCCTCAACAATAAGGTAACTAATAATTATTGTACATATATTTTAACCTGCGTAAAATTAGCCTAGCTTTATCCATTTGTCATTATTTTGGATCAGCTGGCTGAAGGCAACTCTAATATGTTCTAATATGTCTAATACGTTCGGGGCCATTAGAGGCGTGTTTTTTCCATATTTTGTTTCTTTTTATTAAGGTCAATAACACAATCACTCATCCCCTGGTTAGCACAGTTCATTACTAATATATTTAATAATACTGTAGTACTTTCTGATAATATTTAACAAAGTGTTATGACACTAGCGCTCAAGTGTCACCAACATGAACTAGACATGTAAAAACTTCAGATTTTAGAATGGAATGTGAGTCTACCTTTGTTTATTAGTGTATTTTTAATAGTAGTTGTTAGGCTTTAGAAGTATGCCTACGTAAAAATCCTTATTCTATAAGGATTTAAAAGTGCATAAAAGCTACATGGTTAAAGTAACAATGTTGGCCTATGTTGTGGAGTAGATTGGATTACTGGAACTGGATTTTCTCAAATCCATCGTTCCGCCGCCACTGACCTTTTCACTATTCACTTGAGTTTGAGTAGTTGCGTTTGCGTACAACCTTTGTACAACTTATAGTAGTTATCTTGTTTCCCGAACTATCATTAGCCTATGCTGAAATTAATAAGTTTGCGGTAATTATCTTATTAATTGTTAGTGTGAGTCTAATATTTACTTAAAATCACTTACAATTCACATACATTTGATAGTTATATAAAGTTTCTGGTGAGGAAATATCGTCAATTAAAATAGACTAGTCAGTAGACTTACAAAGGTAAATAAAACTGAAAACAGCCGTAACTCCGTTAATATTTGAGAGCGCGGAAAAATTTTTGCACCATTATTTTCAGCTAAAAATCTAGTTTCTTGTGATATATAGGCTAAATCTATATAGGTATTCGATTACCAGTATATGTTTCCATATTTATCTTTATTCATCCTATAATAGCCTATAAGTTTAAATAGTATTACTTGATTGATTGTAAGAGGGTGGACTCATGGTCCAAGCACGTCAACCGAAGCTTTATAGTATTACTTAATGGTACAATAAATCTCTTGAGTCTCTTGAGTCTATATCGTAAGTTAGGTTCTCTGTGAAGGTGTTCCCATGTTATAGTCATCATTTAGCTGCATTTTTTGCCCCACCACCATTGCCCATGTTGAGTGGGTCAAGTTTCCGCACAGCCCCAACCATTTTTAAAGTTGAGTGGTCTCCTGTATTAAGTTTAGGCTAGGCCAAGGCCTAATTTATTTAATTTTCATGACGGTTAAGTTTATTCAGAGCAAATATTTTTCCAACATAAAGTACCGTAGTAGGCTAACTTAGTTTTTCATAGGCCATAAGTTACTACAGTATTTAACGTAATTTTACGCGAGTCCAGCTGGCCTTTTTGGGGAGCGAGCTGGTCTAGTGGTTAGAGCGCGGGACTCTGGTTCCTGGGTTCAAACCCCGCCAAATCACCAATGGATTTATTTAAGTGATATTGCTATTTTTAACCCCTAGGTCTAGCCCGAAGTAATGTGAAAAACAATTCTAGGCTCGTACCTAGCGTCCTAGGACAAAAAAAACATACGTATATTCAATTAAAATTACAGCTTGGTGACCAAGTAACTTGTTGTAGAAGTTGTGGCCAGAGGTAAGTTACAGTTTCGCAGAGAATGAATGATATATTACCGGTTGAAACAGTAACTTAGTTTGATTAGACTAATTTATGATGATGTAGGCCTATCATAGGTACCGTAAGTTATACCCCCACCAGGATAGCCGAACTCAGATAGTTAGTCATAGTCTGGGAAGTCTCAATGTTAATAATGTAAACTTATGTCTCTGGCGTCAATTAATAAAGTTTGTTTGTGCAGTTATAAAATGTGAGTTTTAATCAAAGAATCTACATAATAAGTTAGTCAACCCTCAAATATACACCATTAGCGACAAGGATGGGATTCGAACCCTTGCGTGCAAAGCACATTAGATTAGTCGTTGTCAACACGATTAAAGGTCTCTATAGTATGTAAGTTACAACCGCCTTCCTTTTGGGAGGTCTTAAGGTAACCCTTAAGATGTTAAGGTCTTAAGTTACTTAACTCTCCTACTGTAAGTTAAATAAGAATTTTTAGATGTCACGTAAGTTACTGTGATAACTGTGTAGACAAAATATGATGTGAAATTTGTGTGTTTCTGTTCTAATCTCAATAAAATCAACGTAAGAGGCTTGCCGAGTGATAAGTAATGTTAGATATAACTTTTTAGGCCTAGATCTAGGCCTATACAGTAAACTTAAAATACTTAAACGTAATCCTTCACTAATACTTGAACACGCGTTTTCTTTTCACTTTAGGCTACATTTTTAGAAAAGAAAAAAAAAATGCTTGCCTAAGGTCTTTTATACAGTTTCAGAGATAAAAACTGTCAAAAGTTTGGTCCATAAATTTATTAAAACATTGTGAACAGTCAATTCATAGAAAATTAACCAAATCATTTTGACCATACCCAATGCAAGTTTAAATATCAGGGGGTGGGGCTGGGTTTTCTCCCTGACATGCTCCATCCCTATATGTGAAACTGAGATTATTCTCACTTTCCTCATTGATTGAATGGTGATTCATTTGTTGTAAAACAATACAGAGGAACTCATCATGATTGGCAACAAGTAGTACCTGAGAAACCAAACAATTACAATACTTTTTCAACTTATTTCAAAGTCAATCCCTGTGCATAACATAGAAACTAGTATCTTAGTATTATTGATGTCAAATTGGGTGTAATACTAGTAACATAAAGCATACTTACAGCTTTTAAAGCTTGAAGCCTGTCCTTGGTCATCTTATAACCAGGTAATTTACACCGCTACTTCAATAAAAAATCCCATTCACTGAATTTAGCATGAAACAACACTACTACACTAATAGACGGACACTAAAACTGTAGACGACGTTAAAAATCGATATGCTTCTGCATTGCCGTCTGTCAAACTGCGGCTGCGCCCGTGACGTCATTACAAAAGCTGCAAAACAAAGCTACTTTATTACCAACTTTTAAAATTTCCAAAAAAATAAATGAAAACATGCTCAAAAAATTATAATTTTAGATAAGTGATGGAAATATTTATATATTTTTGTAGTATATAAAAGTATTGTGGTTAAAATTTGAATTTTGATTTCCGTTTCCTGCCTCCATCATCACCCAATTCTCCTCCTCTCCAACTGAAACACCATTGTGAACCGTAACGTCTTTGCAGTGAGGTAAGTTTTATCGACTAATTTTCCGTGCATCCCGTAATATTATGTTCTTAAACTTTATTTGTAGATTATATAGGTAAATATGAACACAAATATATACAAATGATTTATTTTGCCTCTAAATTGCATTTGTTATGCAATAAATACTTCGGTCAGTAATGGCCATTTTCCTTTGGAACAGAATTGGTGGCGCCATTTCATATGATTTTCGGCTACAATTAAAAAATACCGGTAATTTATGTATATAAATAGGAAGTAACATGAACTGTAATTCTTTAAAGCTCCTATATTTATACTCCTTTGTAACCCTAAGCTTAATTTTATCAACCCTCTACCAAAATAGGTCTTACTTAGGCCTAGTAGTTTACTGATGGCAACCCAGTTGCAACAGGAAAGTCCTTGAACTAATTTTTCAGACAAGCTTAGCTTCTGTTAAGATCTATTTGGGAGTATATCACAGTCATTTTATTTTTATAGCCTACAGGATTTTTATTAGCTTGAAGACTAGCAAGGCCTAAGTTAAGTTAAAACTTAACCTAACTTAGCATTTCATTGTTCATTGGATTAACCAAACATAAGTCAACCCTTTGAAACTTAAGTTTAGTTTTGCTAAGTTAATCCGGTGGAAGTTTGTTAACACGTTCGCTTACTGAGTCCTGCATTACTTAACTTAAATATATGTGACAATGCGACATTCCCACGGACCGAGGAGTTAATTTTAATTTCACACATAGACCAGGTGTCACTTGGCTGACAGTAACTTACACGCAGACCAAAGGGTAAGTTAAACTTGTTGCACTGAGATAAATGTGCTGCAATTAACTTAAGTTAACTTAGTAACTTATTTGTAATCTATAGGGTAAGCGGGGGGAATTGGGTGGGCGGGGTAATTGGGTGGTAAAATTTTTAACAATTTTTATATTTTTTATTTATTGATATTTTAACATTTAAATGACATGTATGGACAGCCAATCTCTTCAAGAATAAGCCATAACCTTTTCAGATTTGTACCTTTAAACATTTAAAGGAGGGAAATAGTTTTAGGGACCCTTGTCATTTCGCGATTCTAAAAGTTGTATGCAAACTTTTTCAATCTTTCATATAAAATGCATTAAAATTTTCATACATGTGAAATTACATTATTTTTCACCATAAAATGAATAACAATATACCAAAGAACATGCACAATACTTATCTTCATAATAAAACTAAGTTACTTCTAATTTTTTTTTTTTTCAAAAATGTTACCACCCAATTACCCCCTTATGGGAAATTGGGTGGTAAATTTTAAAACTGAGCTAATACTGTTTCCTTGGCTTAATTTAATTAAAAAAGGCAATAATAATAATATTTTGTGAATATAATTCACACTAGAGTTTTTGTTTTGGTATTTCACCACTACCACCCAATTACCCCTATACCAATACCATTAACCCTATACCACCCAATACCCGTGAGTTCACGTCACATTGGACTGAACCCAGACGACCTAAAAAAAGTCACAAAATTGTATTATAGTTACTTAAATAGGCATAGAGACTGCAGTAGCGACTGAGCTGATGTAGTAAACTAGTGCATTAGGCCTACATTACTTAGTTTATACAGCATCCCTTGTTTTATATCGTGCGAAGGACTGGAAAATCGTGCCTCATTTTCTAAAGTTTTGAGACCATATTACATAATTTAAACCTTATTAGAGAAGAATCTGTCCCTATTTTCCTGTTAATATTATTAATGTACTCTTTATATTATGAATTTAAAAACTGTAGGCCATAATATTTAATTGTGGTTAAAGATTTTTTTTATGTGCGTAGTTCAGGAAAAATATGTTTGTTACCGCAAAATTTATGGTAAATTTTGTTTGTTTTTTATTAAACCTAGTTAAAAATGTTGCTTTTAGTTTCCTTTATAACACCCAATTTCCCAACTTTAATTAGCATTTAGTGTTTATGGATTGTTGACCTACCACCCAATTACCCCCATGGGGGTAATTGGGTGGTAAAACACATTTTAATTTTTTTAATTTTTTTTGGGAATTGCGGGAAAAAAATAAAACATGAAAAAGATAGCTTTTTGTATTATAAAATTAATTAAGTAGGCATTTAACAACAAAAATAGGAAAAGTGGCCTAACCAGATACATTTGTAAAACATACCTCCCAATTCCCCCCGCTTACCCTAAGTTACCTAATTCTTGTTACTAAAGTTTAAAAATTGTTGTAATTTTCACTCTCCATTCAAAAACAAAGAACTGTGTTCAGATTCTTTGTCACTAGATATCAAAATCTAAGTTACCTTGCGATCAATTTCACTGTCAGTAGGCCTATGTAATGGCACTGAAGATACTTAGCTCTCCTTTTATTGTGTTTCTTAGTTTTCATCACACAAACTCACTTGGAAAACAAAAAGTTACTGTCTAGGAAATAATACCTTAACTTACAGAAACTCGCTAAAAAAACAAAAGCACGTGCACAAACTTTGTGTGATGCGGCAAAAAACCATTATTTCATTTCCAACTGTCATACTTAAATTATGACATCACAAATCATCATAACTTAACCTAACTTAGGTACCCACGGTCACAGACCAAGTGACGCACATGTGCATCAGCTAAGTTACATCCCTGTAAATTAGTCCATTGCAGAGAACTCAGGGGCTTCAAATAGACTGTTACGAAGATAATAACATTAGGCCTAAGTTAGGACACTGACACAAATATATTCGTAGGCTACGAAGTTAAGAATATAACTTAAGGACAGACTGAGGTCACTAGGCAAGCTCGTTTCTTGGCCATTTCGTTACCCTAATCCGACAAGAGCTTTAAAAGATGTTGGGTATAAACATCATAGGAGGCCTATATTAAACTCATAGGAGGTGGTATATTAAACTATGTTTACATAATTGATCTATCGTACTTGGGCTAATTCAAGATTAAATGTAGCCTAAGTTACTTGACTCAAGTTAGGTATTTTTTGTTACAGGTAGATTCTAAATTTTCAATTCAAGATGGCTGAGCAGGAGATGCCGACATTTAAGTGTGTCTTGGTCGGAGACGGTGGTACAGGAAAGACCACATTTGTCAAACGACATCTTACTGGTGAATTTGAGAAGAAGTACGTCGCCACGCTTGGAGTAGAAGTGCATCCACTAGTGTTCCACACCAACAGAGGTCCAATCAGATTCAACGTTTGGGACACTGCAGGCCAAGAGAAGTTTGGCGGCCTTCGAGACGGTTACTATATCCAGGTAAAAATATGTTAAGAAAATGTTAGCCTATGAAAGTTAGCCTACTTAGGCTAGGTTTAAAGAAAAAAAGTTACGACAATCATGTACACAAGCTCTGACTTAATTACCTTCTCCAATAAAGCCAATAAAATCAAAGATTAAACTTACCTACAGTACAAGTTTTGATTCTTTTTTAAAGAAGTTTTTGTAAAGTACCTAATTGGTTAACTTACGGGTACGTCGTGAATATAAATTACACAGTCCAGAGTTTTAAACAATTGGATCTTGTTTTTTTAAGGTAGGCCTGCCGCTAGAGCATTAAATGTAGGTAGGCTATTAATAGCTTAAGATTTATATTCCCATTTTTAGTTTTGTACCAATGTTACCTTTGTAACTTATAAGCCTATTTCGTAACAAGTAGGCTATAGCCAAGATGTTTTAGTTAACGTTAACAACTCATGACATGCAAACGTTAACAAATTTCCACTTCAATGCAGTAAAACTTTTTAATGACCTCCCTCTCCCTTTGAAAGCCGAACAGGACATCGGAAAATTCAGGAAATTAGTTAAGTCCATGTTGATAAATAAGGTCTGCTACAGCGTCCGGGAATTTCCTGGTAGTCTTTAACCTTATTAAACACAAAAGAAAACAATTTGTATATAATGTATTTAGTAGTTAATTAATTTCATAAAAATGTAATCTCTTGACTTGGCCAATGCAATGTATTGTTAATCTGGTTGAATAAAGGACTTTGACTTTAACGGTAATAAAAGTTAGCCTACTTCATTGTTAAATAAATTTTTAATGTGTAGGCCTAATGATTGCATTAAATTGTTGTGCCAAATTTCAGCTTTTATTGGTCATAAATTTAGTTTATTTTGAAAACTAAGCAGCTTACTAGTAAGTTAGGTATGTGTGTCTAATCTTGAGCAATAATTTTTCACAGGGTCAATGCGCCATCGTTATGTTCGATGTTACGTCTAGAGTCACATACAAGAATGTTCCTAACTGGCATAGAGACTTAGTCAGGGTTTGCGAAAACATCCCAATCGTTCTCTGCGGAAACAAGGTTGACATCAAGGACAGAAAAGTCAAGGCGAAAAGCATAGTGTTCCACCGTAAAAAGAACCTCCAGGTATGTATTTACTACAGTTTTACAGTAGGCCTACACCCTTATTTAAATACCGGTCCTGGATTAACCATTGTTACAATGAGGTAAAATACTGTACTATTCAGAAAGTAAGGAACCTATCTGCCGTCGATAGGCTGCTGCTCGTGCACTTTCTGGTACGGTAATGTATGTGTTTGCCTTCTCAATGACAATCCAGCCGTCAAAGCAAAAGTGTCACTGTGCTACAATTTTAAATCACTTGTTGAGAGGTGTGGTCTATTGTAACTTACAGTTTTTGTTGACCGTTAACTCAAAGCCCTCTAGAAAGTGATTGTCAATCGTGGTATACGGAAATAACGTAATAAATAAAGTTCTGCCTGAAAATGGTGCTTTCGGAATTTTAAAAATAGCCCTAGGCATACTAAATTTAATATCTACCTTATGTTTTTCCCTAACAATGCCCGAACTCATACAGCAATTCTCTCGCAAGATCTTTCTTCATTCAAATGGGTGAATGGATTCCCCCTAACCACCCGGGTGACAGTTCAGACCTTGCTCTGAGTGAGTTTTACCTGTGTCCTAAATAAAAAGGCTTGGTCATAGTAAAGCGCTTTGATGACGGCTAGAGTGATGCTCCAGTTGCGTGTCACTGGGCAGCTGAGCTTGCAGACAGCGGAATCCTACGACGAAGGAATTTTGAGGCTTGTCCAACTCTTCGATTTGTGCCTCTGTTTGGTGGGGCTGTAGAAATGTACCAAATGCTCTTTGCTTGAATCAAACCTGTTTCTTACTTTCTGAACTTAGGTGGGTCAGGTTTGAATCCATTATTTGTCTGTCATATTTTACATGCTTATTGTTACATTGGCTAGTTGTCAGTTTCAGACACATTTGTAGGTTCCTTATTCGACCCAGGTGATGGTTCTACAGAGAGTGTGATATAAAATCTTTTTTTAGCAGTAACATTTTTTCAAGTTTTATGTTTACTTTGGAGATAAGATTAGATAAGATTGTTAACCCAACAAATATCCTGATTTAATGGGTGAGGTCTCCTTTTTCAATGGAAAAAAACTTGTTTTGGAATGAACCTTAAACAAAATCTCAAGATTTCTATAGGTAGGCCCTACTCAAATAATGGTTATGTTCTTGCTTTTTATTGGATTGTGAAACCAGCATCACTCGACCACATTCTTTTGCTAATAAAACGAGGACTACATAAAATTAATGTCTCATTGAATGTTACTCTATACATAATTGTGTTGGTTATTTTCAGTACTACGACATCAGTGCCAAGAGTAATTACAACTTTGAGAAGCCGTTCCTGTGGTTGGCCAGGAAGCTGATTGGAGACCCCAACCTGGAGTTTGTTGCAATGCCCGCCCTCGTGCCCCCAGAAGTTACCATGGATCCCCAATGGCAGACACAGATCGAAAAGGATCTCAAGGTAAATTATCTCCTTGTTGTTTTAGGGTATTATTTGAAAACAATACTTTCTCCATATACTATGGTATATGGAGAGAAAGTATGTGTGGTGATTTTGTTATTAATAGAGTGCAGTTCTACATCTCGAGCACGGTATATCTCTTTTTTGTTACACAATTATCGTTATTTCACTTGTTCGATCACACAGTTAAGACAACGATAAAAATAGTATGTAGCCTAGTAGTAGGCCTATTCTCAGTAGGTACAGCGATCTATTACTATTGCCGAAATGCAATTATTTTGTGATTTTTTTTGTTACCTATGGAAGACACAATTTTAGCCATTGATAGTTGGCTCAATCATACAGTTCCGAGGGTTTTCACGATATTCTCAGTAGGCTACCAATTTAAAAGGTTTTACTTCTGGAATAGTAGTATCAATGGTAATATATTGTTTTATGTTAAATAACGCCCACCTCTAGTGTATGGTTTGTTCCAGTAAGCAAACCATTGACAGTGTTTTGTTATTTTGTTCCAGGAAGCACAAGATACTCCTTTACCAGAGGATGATGAAGACTTGTGATTCGCTTTTTATCGATGCCCACCTTCGATTCCAAGCTACGCAAGAGCGTATGATAACAAGCGCCTCAGCGTGGTGACACCCCATTGGCGTGCCCTTTTTATATTGTTAAATTTAAGCTTTTGTCATTTGGTTACTTATAAGTTATTCTCTGTTCTTCATGTTACATTTCAAGACTTAAAAAGTAAGTTGTACAAACCAAATAAATACCTGTTTAATTTGTATTTTTGCGTCTTTCATTCCTTTTATTTTAATTCTGCTAGAATGTAGCTTGTATTTGAAACTAATGTGACAAGTTAAATGATTTTTATCAAAATAAGTTATAAGGTGTATGTTTATTTTATATTTTATTGCACAAAGATCCTAATAAATATCTTTTAGATCCAATTTATTGCCAACTGGTTTCAGAGGGCCGGATTTGAATTCAGAGACCTATATTTTGACTATATATACATATTAGGAATGGTCAAGTCTCGAAATTTCGGGAAATTTTAAATCTCGTTACACGAGACAAGATTTCTTTTTGACCGAGATTTTTATCGAGACGAGAATAAAAAAAAAAATTAAAAACGCCTGCAGAAAGTCAATGCAATACCCGCAATACAGGAGCGTGTTGTAGTTGCGTTTCCTTTGCGAAGGCGTTCTTATTTAATTAATTCTATAAATGTAAATATTACTTTAATTATTTTAATAATATTACTTTAATAACATTTGAGAAGTTTTGTTAAGTGTAAGCAGTGTGAGGAATGTTTTATTACTATAAAAAGTCAAAACAAGTAACTATTTTATAAAAATTAATATTGCTTTTATTTTATGATTTATTTTATTTTAGGATAAGTTGAACTCTATCCTAACTGATATCACTATGTTTCTTAATCGTAGGCATTTTTAATAAGTTAGGCGTGATTAATAAAAAAATGTTATCCTGACGTTTTTAAATAAAAGATTGTAAATATTCTTGCCTATTATCATTATTGTTGTATTTAAACAGTCATCTAACAATGTTACAAAATCAGGTAAAAATTTTGAACGTGCATTTCCCGTTGTGTGTGAGAAGGGAAATCCCGTCTCGATCTCGTCTCAAAATTTTATGAGAAATAAAAAATCTCGTCTCGAACTAAAAATTCAATCTCGTCCATCCCTAATACATATATTTATATTTTATTAATAATAGCTATTTGTGTATTAAGACTGCAGTGTGTTATTGCCGCTTGAGAACTGTAGATGGCCGCACGAACCTTAAGCTGAGTGTGGCCATACATGAGCAGCAATGACTGTTTGTGCTTGTAATATACACTAGATTTTTCCTACCACCATAATTAACTTACACAGATTAACTTTTTGTTGCATATAAAATGTAATTTAGGTAATGATTGTGTTTGCTTTTTAAGTTTTGGTATTTGCTTACTGGTTGACATGACGGCTCCACGGTTGTGGTTGCTGTAGAAACGCTAACAAATATATCAGCTGATTCAGCGAGCGGAAATTAACTCTTGCGTACCGCAGATGTGTCAATGTGATCATTTCCATGTGGTGGTAGGAAAAATAAATTAACAGTTTACAGTTTTACTTAGTCAGCAAGGAGTAAATTGATAAATTCTATTCCAATTTTGTTCAATTTACCGCTATTCAAAGACAAAACAGATTTTGTGTAAATTTCAAACCTTTAACTCTTGACATTCAAGAAATACTTCTAAAAATTAATTAACTACACTTTCCAAAAATGTCCATTAGTTATGAAAATAATGTCAGCCAGGTAGAGTCCACTTTGTTCCACACAAGTGTTAATACATTCCTTACAGTACACTATCGCCGAGTTTTTGAATTGAGTTGTGACGACGAATATGAACCATGAGCTCACCCAGTACATGCCCATGTTAGCGGAACATGCGTCCTAGTGGTTAATTTGGTGGTCATATTTTAACTCCCGGCTCTCACCTTTGCTCGTCTCTTTTTACTCGTCCCAAAAACCAACAAAGGGAGCACAGGCTAGGCGAACTATCCTGAGCAGACCGGGTACACTAACGTGCTCGCCTATATTCGGCGATAGTGTACTGCAAGCATTAAAGTTTTGCAAAACACATCACAGCAGCTCATAGCACCAATTATTGTTGCCGTATCCTGGTAAAGATAAATTGCGGCAGGGATTAATTACCAACTGGACAATTTAAGGTGGAAATGATATCATGGGATCCAAATTAAAAGTGGACTCGACGAAGTCGCTGCTCTGTTGTGATAGACTCGCAATGCAAACATAGAGCATGGTACCGTCCAGTGTTTCATGGCCTTTAAAATGGCATCACATTAAAAAAACTAATGACCCCACTCCCCATTATACTAGTGCAAATGTATAATTTTAAACTTACTGATACTCTAGGACCTAATTTCATTTGTTGACCTATTCGGATTTTTAAGGTTATCTACAGAAATTCGCTAACAAGTTCAAGGATCAAAGGAATGATAATAGCTTAGTAAACATTCATTTAATAGACACAAATAAAAAACAAAACATACTTTAAAGCACAGCTTTAAAAAATACCTTATAGAAAACACCAAAAAGGTCTACAGGGCTTAATGCCCTTTTAACGAACTGTATTCTATAAAATCTATAAAAACTTTATACTTTGTTAAGATTATTATGTAAAAATTCAGTATAAAACTAATTATTATTAAGATCACTGGTTTTTAACCAACAAATAATTGACAACAATACAATACTTCCTATTTTAGGACAATTTCTTAAAAAGCTAATAAAATAAATATTTAAAATATAATATGAAAATAAATTTTAGAAATTCGTAACAAAATCTAAAATACTTTTGATCACTTGTAATATTGAGATTTTGTAAGCATGTTGTAACAATCAATGCAAGCAATGGAATGCATAATCGAGATCAGGAACGCAAACATATAAATACTGCTTGTGCAAAAATTAAACTCCAAAAATATTTAATTTATATCAATAACATATCTTAAGATAATCAAAAATTTTTATATTTCATATCTATAACTCTAGTTATGAAGTATGGATTAAGAAAAATTTCCAAAACTGAAAGTTAAAAGAGATCTTAACAGAAATTTGTACTCATAAATTTCATCAAAGATTTCTGTAAATGGTTTGAATAGTAATTTAAAACATGTTCAACTAACATGCACTTGTTTGTTATGGTGATTAAAAATGTTATTCTAAAACATTTTTTAAAGGTTATGTGTAAGAAATGAGTATATTTAAAATCATTGTTCCAAATTTGATTGACAAAACAATGCAAGAGCAACTTTTTTTCATGCGTTTCCCTTATACACATAAATCTTAAAAATCTAATGGCTGGCACGTGAAGTGATATCAAAATGCTGAGAAAAACCTGAAACAATAAAATGTTGTTTAAGTATGGAAACAGAGAGAGAAGAATCAATTCTCAATGCTAATAATGAGGAGGTGAACACATGTAAAAGTAGGAATAATTAGCCGAGCATGGAAAAATTGACTAGGGGTGCAATTTGACTACTTGTGTTAGTATTTGACAATTTCCGGGCAGAGGTATCCGCACATTTGTTATCGTACTGTCTGAGCAGTCCGTTAGTTGCTTTGATGTGAGGATTAGTTCAACATGAAGCGGGAAACAAAGATCCCTTACGTTCTTTGCAAAATTACGAGTAGACAAACAGCCAACCACATGTCGTATGTGCGGTCCCGCCTCAAGAAAATGTTTTACTTACAAATCAAATTGAATATTCAATGATACTTTCTATCTGCTTGACACTAGTGGTATGCATTGTTAGGAAGCACATTAAATACAGGGTGTCTCTTAAAGAGCTGCTATTTTTTAATTTACATACCAGACGTATCAAACAATAATGGAACAAATTGAGTCCATAATATACAAACTTGAAACGCTTCAGGTATAATAAATACTTATAAAATACCCAAGTCTCATTTCATTCTGGTTACTAAGGACAAATTGATAGAGCAACGAAACAAGAAACAAATTTTGTTAGTGAGATTTGTGCATAGCGATTTATTTGCATCAGTTTAAATTAAGGGTTATGAATTACCACTATCTTTTAAGTAACATTGTAAAAGAAAATAAAAAAATGAACCTGAAATTATTTTGCAAATATACTTTAATATAGCTATAATAATATACATCTTTTACCTACGACTGTTTTTTAAGGTAGCCGTTTCAGTTCAGTTCTTAGAATTGAAAAGTTTCACATACCAGCATAGTTTTACTCAAAACATCACGGGTACAGACCAATCAGGTTCAAGGATTGAGAGAGAAGAAGTAAAATTTTAATGATTCGAACTTGAACTATTTAGTTCGTTGCTCAGGCCAATTTAATTGTCGAGTGGTGCAATTAATGTTAGTTACAATGATTCGTTGCATCACTTTCAGCGGCAATGAGAGGTTATAAACGAAAACATAACCTCTCTTAGAAGTTATGAGTAGTGATTTTTAGTAATTAAAACACTGTTGTAGGTAAAGTAGTGTACGCAACTCGCCTAAATAGTGTTAACGACACTAAGTTTTAAAATTTTCTACTAACACTATCTTTACGCAATTGTTGCGTAAACTACTATAACAAAACCACACTTATATTATGTCCTGATTGGTCCCAATCACGGGAACTTGGAAGTGTTTTTTTTTAGATTGTTGCAGCTGTGGAGTTTAATGTTTTTAGCATTTTTGATACGTCTGGTATATTAATTGAAAAAATACCTTATCCAGGGACACCCTATAAATCCACACAAACCTCTAGAAGTCCTTGTACTTGGGACACAGCTCCTGGTCCTCTGGTGTGCTGACCACCTTGGCCGGGTCGACCAGCAGTTGGTCGTAGTAACCGTCCTTGTGCGTCTTCTCGTAGCCGTGCAGAGCGTGTTCCCTGATAAACTCCACGGCCAGCTTGGTGTCCGCGGTGGGCATCAGCATGCGCCAGCCCCACGACAACAGGACAAACGGCTATCGGAAAATGAGCATGTAGTGAAATGTTTAAGTTTCTGGATTTGGTAAGTTCTGAAAGATTGTTCAAGTTAATGGTTTGGATCTATACATTGTACATTAAAACCCACATTTATAATAGTAGAAATGATATAGTAGAAATGATATAGTTTTACCGAAACGCGATCTGGAAATATTCAAAACAACTAAACCCACATATTCTGGTGTGAAGTTTTTAAAGTTGATTCCCAAACAAATCTAAGGTATTAATGGCATTAAAAAGCTTAGACAATTCTCAAAGAGTTTTTGGTAGAAAAACCTCTATTGATATGGGACCTATTCTACAGATGATTTTTTTTATGTTAAATAGTTGTATATAGGCTAGTATTTATAAACTCACACTGTTTATTGTACGATTTGTACATAAATAAAGATAATTTAAATAAGTTAAATGATCCTCTTGTAGAGTGTAATGTATTCTCTTTCCTCATTTTCCTCACAATAATAGTTGATTGGTGCATACAAAGTTATAGTTTATGTTAAGTAACACTTAAAACAGCCTCAGTAACTAATTCTAATGCGAGTTACAACCAAGCCCAATTAGGATAAGTGAAGTTAACTTAAACTCAAACAGTTATTAGCTCTGCAAAGTTCTAATTGGTTACTTACCCTTTCTTTAGGCACGAGACGAGAAGCACTGATGACGTGACGGTACAGACAACTCTTGACTACTTTCTTCAACTTGTTGACGAGAGACGGAGCTGCACAGGGATGATACAGGAAAATAATGCCTCCATGCTGTAAAAATAGAATAGGCTGTTAAAACTACGATGAGCTATACAAAAAATAATGCATCTGTGATGTCATTGTCACTTAGTTTATGGGGTAATTTTGTGGGGCAGTAGTAGTGGGGCAGTTAACGTTTTTAAAAAACAGAAAAAAGCAATCCGTATCCTAGCTGGCATAAAAAGTAGAGTTAGTTGTAAGACCTTTTTTCCTGAATACAAAATTCTTACTTTACCAAGTGTGTACATTTTGCAGAATATCATTTTTGTAAAAACAAATATTGAACAATTCTCATCTCGCTCATTAACTCACAATCATTACACCAGACTAAGGAATAATTTAGAGTTACCATCATTAAGACTGGCCTCAACACAGCGCAGCTATAAATATTTACAACTTAACTTTTCAATGCCCTCCCTGAAAATGTACGCAACTTGCCTATTAAGTCACTGAAAAATGTATTGACCGATTTTTTGAACAGAAAGGTTATCTACTCTATCGAGGAATTTTTATCTTTCAAACATGATGATTTTCTGTAAAATTCTAATTGTTAAGTAGGGTATTGTTTCTAAAGTATGTAATAATGGTTTCATGAACTGTGATATAATAGTCTTTCATAATAATGTTATTTCTGTGAACTTTATTTAAAAATTTATTGTTATTTAGTTTTAAGCTGTATCTTACTGCCAATTTTAGCCTTAATTATTTTGTTATAGGCACTTACCCAACTTGTTTGCTTAACTATAAACAGTATTATTATCATCATTATCAATACATCTCAAATACTTTTGTACAAAAACCCAGTATTATTAGTTTATTAGTATAGCATGTTCATCTATTTACACTTGACTCTGTACATTGTACTTTGAATTGTATATTATCTCCATTGACCTGGCCTATTGTATGACATGTATACTTAATGGCAATAAACTATTTGAATTTGAATTTAGAATAGGCTGTTAAAACTACGATGAGCTATACAGAAAAATAATGCCTCCTGCTGTCAAAATAGAATAGGCTGTTAAAACTACCATCAGCTATACAAAAAAATAAAGCATCTGTGATGTCATAACAGATTATTCTGTTAAAAATACAATCGGCTATAGAGAAAATAATGCCTCTGTGGTGTTGAAAAGAAAAGAGGCTGTTAAAACTAAAAACAGCAATATTAAACTTTGATCTTTAAAGAACATTAATTCATTGACGAAATGGATACAGATTCAAAAGTTTGAAAAACTTTCAATATTTCTTTTTTTTTCTATAAACACCAAATACCTATAATAGTAATGATTAAAAATAATATATGGTAAACATTTTCAACATAAAAATATATAAAAGATTTAACAGATTTAATTAATTTACAGACGAGCTTAAACAAATTTGGTAAAACAAATCAGTATGGATTTTACTTTAGGCTGCAATTGTAAAAGGCTTAGAAATAAATATAAGACTTAACTATCTATATATTAATTTGTTAAGTCAAAAAAAATTCACGTAAAAAGGGTTTTGATGAAAAACATTTCTACTACATAATTGCTTAAGTTACATATTTAGCAAATAAGCTTTTTGAGAAAATGCCTATGTAATCACTTTTTTCTAAATAACTTTTAAAAAGATATAAGAATTCGGAAATTTACGATTAGTCAATTGTGCAAATCAAACTAAAAAAATATCAATAGAATAAATAGACAATCATCACTGATCTATTGGTATTTTAACAGGTGTTCAAAGTCAAGTGAATTTAACGGCCATTGTTTCAAGTTCAAACAAGTTTTTGAAGACTTACGTCTTGCACGTCAATACTTTTCTCAAGCTTACTTCAAACTTAGGATTTACTTCCAGGAAGTTAAATTACAAATAAGTTCACAGAACTTGATACTTGATTTTTGTATTTTCTTTTCTTGGTACTGTTTTAAACATTTGTTTTCTTCACATTTTCCTTACTTCTCTCCCACATTTTCTTATGGTTCATGATTTTTATGCATATTTCCCTGGTTGTTCTATACATTGTCCTTGCTTTCCCACAAATTTCCTAATGTACTTTCCTGATTCCAGACATTTTCATAATTTATATTGAGTCTCACTCTTAAGCTTACTTCAACTTAGGGTGAGCTCATAAATAATATGTGATTAATAATAGTCCATAGATAAATGATAAAGTAGGAAAAAATACTTGTTCTTGTCAAGTAAAATTGTTTTAGCGACAACATAGCTTTTTTGGAACCAATATTCTACTCTTCCTATGATTTTTAGTCATTTTCCCACAGAAATTACCCCGATTCTTACCTCCATGTTGTGAAGGTATCGCTGGGGAGGTAGGTACTTATATTCACCGTACTTGGCCCATGCTGGTCGATGAGGTCCGCTGAAACAGGGATACCAACAGTAAAAAACCACAAAAATCCTACTTTGCTTCATATTTTTGAAATCCATGTTAGTTTTGAATTTTAGGTACAGATCGTGCCAATGAGGATGGAATTTTTGGGGAATGAGACAAAGGCAAATAACACTGAAAGTCACACCACTAGACTCTGGTAACAAATTAATCCAAGGCCAACTAATTGCTGAGATGTTAAAAAGGGGATTAGTGGATAAAATCACCCAAACTTTGTTTTAAAAATATTCCTTTTTAAACACAACTAATCACATTTTCATAGTGAAGGTGTGGCTTGGCTCGCATTGCAGTGCAAGAGTGCTCGTGTGAAAAAAGCTCAGGATCTATCGAAGACAATGTTTTCTTACATAGGCTTAGCCGGCCGGTGTCATCAGAGTTCATGGTGGTGTTTTTCGGCGTCAACCGCGTCGTCACCAATAGACTGTTGCCAGACGTTTCACTCTTACTGTGAAGTGGCATATTCAGTGGCTAACTGATGATGCCACCTCACAGTAAGTGAAACGTCTAAAAACAGTGTATTATGGTGAATTTTTATCCAAGGTTTAGATGTATTTCCTAAGAGTAAAACAAAAAAATTGAATTTGGGTTGCGGTAAAAATAAAATGTTAAAAGGAAAAATTGGTATTTTCCAATGTCTAACCTTTACTAATTTTGGTTAAATAATGTTAGGAGAGTTCCATATCACATTAACCATATGGATTTACGATTGATAAGCACCCGTATATTTTTATATTGAGCTATGTTAACCTTACTTAACCTGACTAAACACATAATGATACAAAAAATTACTTGGGACAATATTTTGAATTGTAGAAAATTTTAGAATAAAAAATTGGGACAAGATTTACATTTAAGATATAATCAGCCTAAAACGTGATTTTTTCCCTATAATTCTGGGTAAAAATTAAATTTGAATTAGGTATATTTTAAAAAACAATTATTGGCATTATAAAAAAAGTTACAGTACTTACAATGTGAGCAGAGGATGTTCATACGGAATTTCAGACTTCATACAAACATGTCTGGCCTAGAACAGAAAAGAATTTAGAGCTAAAATGGCTCAATTTAGTTTTAGAACCGAGAAATCAGCTGCTAGAAGTCATCAGATGATTATTCAATTTTCAGTCTGTCTTTTATGATTCAGTATGATTAACAATAATGTTGTAAGTTTCAGAAACAGTAGTCACATGAAATGTAAGCTTAAGCTAAATTAAAAGTCAGCAGAAACTTTTTTTGAAGCCGATAGCTTAGTAGGCCTAGTAACTGAGAATAATCTAGCACACAGTGCAAAGAATCACTCCATTTGACAGTTACTTCATGCATTGCATTATTGAATATTACATCAAGTGACTTGGCAAAATCCTTAAATGGTTTCAAGAAGTTCTTTTGTCGAGGATTTCGTAGGCAGGTATTGGCAAACGCTAATAATTTACAAGTCATATGCAACAATGACTTTTAGTTTCATTGAATCATTCAGCTAAAAGGGCCGAGGCCGCAACTTTCACTAAGATTAAGATATTCACTTACAGTTAACTGACTGATCTAGCTCATGTGCTTTTGACAAGGTTTTTTACAACGCAAAAGTAAAAATAATCCGTAAAACGCCTACATGAAGAAACAACCTTAAATGGAGAACATTAACATTATTTTTTAAATTGACCACAGTCTGATCTGGAATTAGCGTTTTAGGTAATCAAGTTGAACTTAGTGGCTGGCCCGGATTGGCTAGGTCAAAAGGACCTCCGAAGAGAATATGCTGTCCAGTCAATGGTGTTTGGTCAATATTTCTACATTTCGTAATTGATTTTTGTTTGTTTTTTGTTTTTTTTTACCTATTTTACTTTGCAATTGCCCGTAAACATGGGCCACAGAAAACCTGTGCATGGTATGTATTCACCAAAGCAAGGGGTGAGCCAGTACCAGTACAAGGGTGAACTTTACTGATTAAACGTAGTGGCAGGTACCAAGAATTGATCAAAATATGTTCTATATCCTATCTTATGCAAAATCCAAACTGTGAGAATAATTCAATAGAAACCAAAACATCATATGCTAGGGATAGCATATTTCTTCCTTCTTCCTGTGACAAGAACAAAGAATACAACTGAAGAAGTTGAGCTAGTTCCAAAAATGCAATGTTTCACGTGTTTATAGGCTATATGTTTCACTTATATCATAGATAAAACTAGACCGGAACAAAAAGAATCGGATAAGTGTAGCCACCCCTCACAAATTCGGAGCGGAACGGACCGAATCTGACAAAGTGTAGCCCTAACTTAACTGTTCTCTTAAGTCGATTTAAAGATTTATTCACTTCTACTCACAATGTACATAGGAGGAATATGTTCCTGCTCCAGTGTAGCCTTCAAGGAAGTGTCAGGTTCTAGAAAGTCTCCTTCGGCACAAATGTAGTCTATATCATTGTTGTTCCAGTCCACTGTTAGGTTGGACTGAAAATAAAATAATTCATGATAAAAATAAGAAGCAAAATAGTCTTCTATTGTTATGGATTTTACCTGTTGACTATTTCAGACATAACACTAATGTTAAGAACAATGGAGATGTTGTGGTGTTGTATGAGATGTTAAGAAGTTGTTTAAAACTTAAATCATCTCTGGCCGCTGGATAAAGGTAGTATATAAATACAGTAGGTGTTCTTCCTTATTTGTTCTTTATTTCAAAGGTATCGAATAAATCAAAATTCATACCATCCTTGATTTCGAAATGGGAAAAATGTTTGAGTTAATTTGTGTTTTAATCAATGGATTATCTTTCATCATGTTACCTTTGGAAATAATTACCTGTTTTGTTAACAATTTGGCTTCACATAATCAATTTACTTAGTAAGTATCCTTCAGATATTCATAAAATATCAGAAACCTTTTAACAATCAGTCAACATGATCGGTCAGAAAGTATAATATGAAGATTGAAGATTAATGACGAATAAATCTTGTTAGACATTGTTTATTACTACTTGAATCCTTGAAGATTTGACCTTCAGGACAAGTAATAAACCTAGCGAGTTAACTCTTTGTTGTTTGACCTTCAGGGACTTTTCTCATACTATTTCTCATGCCAACCTGCGACCTTGGCAAGTTGCAGCAGAATTCCTTTGTCACTTGTTTCTAGACCAGAGTACGCACTAGGAAGTCAATTATATAACTTTACTGCATTTGCAAAAGCTAATGAAGTGTAAAACAATTATTTGAGTTTGTCTGTAGAAACCATCATTTTAATGTGTATATCAGGAATAATATTTAATTTCCATATTCAGGAAGTAAACGGTTTTTGTGTTTAGAAAACGATATAAATTATTTCTAGGTTAGCTAGCATAATGTTTGTTTTCTATTATAAATGCACACATTGTGATTTTAAACTTTTAAATTTTGCATTTTACTGTTTTTTTTTTATATTCAATATTTTAGATAATGGTTTGAATGTAGGCTATTGTTTCCTATTGTTGTTTACAAATATATAATAGTTTGTACCATGTAATCCAAATTGGTAGATCTACACAAATTTGGATCACATGACCAGACCAAAATGGATACTTGGATTTGTTATTTTTTTACTCTAGACAAAATCTAAAGCTAGAAAAAAAGTCACCCACTTATGAATTTTTATATTTTTTAATAAGCTTTTTTTGAAAATCAGAACTAAAATCAATTGTAATTTTATTTTTAACCAAACGTGAATTTCTTATTTCAGTAACATATTACAGTAGGCCAAGTGTTTATTTTTTTATTTTTACAATGAACAAGTGTTTTAACATTAATATTCTAAATATGATTTACGTTAAAGTCTAATGATATTACTTTTTCATTTATTTAACATTGATGTATACAGATTTTAATAAATTTCCACACTTGACCAATCAGGTTAATCAACTCTGTGATGTTTAAGGACAAGGTCAATAGAATACCGGAACAGAAAACTGGTTCCACAGCTTAGAAGGATTAAAAATCACATCAGTTCTTTTCCATTACGATTTTATGGAGCTATGTAGCATTGAGATTTGGAGATGGTGTGTGCATTTTGACTTCCCTAGGTAAAATATACCATAGCAATTCAAATTAAAATATATAACTTCCAAAGAAGAATCATTGTTTATTTATTTTCTGTTATTTGGGATTGTATATATATAATACTTTCAGCTCTCTGAAAGGATTTAAATCTAATAAATTAAGAAAGATCTGAACTAGCAAATAAATGTCTCGTACAGTCCTAATTCTACTTACCTTTCCGTCGTCACAAGTACTGTTAATCATTTTCCACATGTTATTGCCGTCCATTCCGCCGCCGGAACCCCCAGTTTTGGGTGCTTCTGTAGGCTTTTCAGGGAACCATTTACCAGTCCATGATTCAACTGGCTCTCTGTATGAATCAAAGAAGCAATTAAAATTTAACATCTGCACAGTTAATAAGTTAACTGTAATTAACTTATACAAGGTAATTACTTAGGTAATAACTTATAGGTTAATTTACTTAACAAGGTAGCAACCTTGGTCCAGTTTTATTCTTAATTTATATAAATAATATTTCCAGACTAAACATTTTTGGTCAAATCTTTTTATTTGCCGATGACAGCCTAATTTTCCTGCAAGGAAAAACCTGGCCCGAGGTGTATGACAAAGCCACACACGATCTCATGATAATTAAGAAGTGGTTAAATCAAAATGTTCTTTCATTAAATGTTTCTAAGACAAAATTCATGCCTATTTCTATTAGCAAGAGTACAGACTTCAATTTAGCCAATTTAACAATCCACGAATGTGACAATTATCAAAGTAATTCTTGCAGATGTGAAAGTATAGAAAAGGTCAACTCTTATAAATACCTAGGTGTATTGTTTGATGAACGATTAAAATGGATAGATCATGTTAATTATGTTAGAAATAAAATTAGGAAATTAATTTTTGCTTTCAAACACATGAGAGAAGTTTTGACGGTTAAGGAATTAAAAATGGCTTACTTTGCTTTTGTTCAATCATTACTTTCGTTTGGTATTATAGCTTGGGGTGGCTGTTATAGGAGTACCTTGGAGCCATTAAATATTGCTCAAAAATCAATTTTAAAAATAGGTTTTGGGAAATGCAAACGTTACCCGACTGACGCTTTATTTAAAGAAATAGGAGTCCTCTCTATTCGCCAGTTGTATGTAAAATCAATATTAATAAACATCTATAAAAATTACAATAACATTTTTCAAAATATTTCACATTTATATAATACAAGATATTCTTCTAGAGTTGGAATCACCACAATTCAAGTGAATTATACTTTTTCTACGACTAATTCATACTATGTTTCACACTTAGTCTATCGTAACATATGTAACATTTTTAAGGATTTCAAATTTTTTGAATGTGACTCTTTAAAGGTATTTAAATTCCGCGTCAATGATTTCCTATTCAGTTTAAATATTGACGAGGCCGATTCTATTATCACGGCGGACTACCGGCGCACCTGATCCGACCTTTGCACTGACTGACCTTGGCACTTTGTTAGGACTGTCCGCAGTCGAATTACTACTCTCTACACCACTCATACTCAACAATCCACTCATCACTCTCCACTCTCCACTCTCCTCACTACCACCATTACACACGGAACTGACACAAAAACACACACACACACACACACACACAGTCTGTCTGTCTCTCTCTCTCTCTCTCCTGGCCACCACGAAATCAATGCGCAGACTCACCAGTGCTGTGTTCATGAAAATACGTTTACATACATCACTAATAATAACAACCCTTTTATTTTTAATTGCCATTCCACAAATTCAATAATTTACTTTTTTCTATTTGACAGCAACTTAGCAGACGCACAGGTAGCACTGCCTATGTCTGCTAGTTCCATTTGTTTATTGTAGAATATTTTGGCTCATTAAAACTTGTATGTATTTTACTATTTTTAGTGTCATAAGTCTCTGTTAAGTATATTTGATTTTATAATCACTGTTTGTAGCCAATGCTTTTTGGAATAAACTATATATTCATTCATTCATTCATTCAAAAATTCAATGGTGGTGATAAAAAGCATAAAACAAAACTACATTAAGGGCGCGCTTTACCCCTGACGCGCAACCAAATGCAAGGGTTTGCAAGATTTCTGTTTTCACCTGCTACATTGAAGGTAGAATCAAAGTTAAGGTCTCATATTAAAGAGGATGAAATTTTCTATAGTTCTTATTTCTATACTTCAATTATTTTAAATACACACCTTATAAACTTGAGGAGTTGTAGTACAAGAAAAAATGGTCTTTTCAACTAGCCTTAACTTATTAAAAAATAATAATAATAGGTTAAATACCTTGTATACGTCCTCAATCCAAGTCGTCTTTTAAATGACTATAGTTTCGGGGCCAACAGCCCCATTGTCAAATATTCTGTCTTGTTAATTACTGTTTATAACATTGGTCGCCGTTGAAGTACACATATACACATACACTGACACACGAAACATTTATATTTACACGTAACATTGAAAAATTATACTTTTTGGCCGGCCTAAACAAAAGTGATTACATCATTGTGCGGACCGGTACACTGACTGACAATATACACTGACAATATATGTGTACTTCAACGGCGACCAATGCTATAAACAGTAATTAACAAGACAGAAAATTTGACAATGGGGCTGTTGGCCCCGAAACAATAGTCATTTAAAAGACGACTTGGATTGAGGACGTATACAAGGTATTTAACCTATTATTATTATTATTATTCAATCCAGGAGGCAAACATGGATAAATTATTAAAAAAGACGTTTTTTGAACATTTGAAAAACCCAGAACTATAGATTGGTCTCTGTACTACTACAAGCCGTTTAGAGTGCGTAGCTATAATTATTTGTTAATTCTAAAACAGTAATCTTGGAAACGTCTGCAAGCGCTTCTCGCAGCGCTGTCCAATGGTGAAACATAGCTACTGAAGCCCGAGCTGAGATTTCCGAGCTGAGGTAAAGCGCACCCTTAATTCATAACTCTAAAAATAATTCTAAAAGTCCCCCTAGAAAAATACTTACGGCTTGATATCAACATCCCTTCGAGTTTTTTGCTCTAGATCTTTTTTGATTTCGTCAAGATCAGCACTGACCCCTGAAAAAATTAAAACAAATTATTGCTCGGAGAATCTAAGATTTTTTTAGTGGAATAAGTTATGCAGATGTGGATGAAGACTTTAAGTATCAAGTTAGTAAGTATCTCTGACAAATTAACGAGTTTGAATTATTTGTTACAATTACCAATGTTTATACTGAAACTAATTTATTTATTTTTTTACTAAAGATACCAAAACCAGTCAATGAAATCTCAATATTTAAATATAAAATAGTTCTTTTTAGTGTCAATCTAGTCCCTGAAATGTGAGTCGTCACAACTGGCTTCGCAGGAAGCAAAGTCTTAACATAAAATGTAAGATAAGTTTGAAGGTGATTGAAGAGAATATAGGCTATCAACTTGGAACCAATCAAGGAAGAGGAAGGGCAATAACCTGTCCGTCGATGTCCTTGAGTGATGTAACCTCAGAGTTAACAACATAACAACATATAAAAACATAGTTTTTACTCGCTTAGCCAACATTAGTAAACCACAATCTCACTAAAAGTGTGGTTGTTTAAACGTTCTACAATTTCAAATTAAATGCTGCACCATATTATACTTTGAAGCAATACATTAAAACAATAGGTCTAGAAAAGTTACCCATACACTAACCTACACTACTGTATATTAACTTCCCCAGCCGGTTTTTTTTTTCTAATTAATTTTCTGTTGTCTTTCTGTAGAGAAAGGTTCAAAATACACCATAAAAAGGAAATTTCTTCCTTGTATCAGTGGTACCACCCATTTCTCAGTACTGTAGAAAGGATATGTTCCTTGGCTGTGATTTTTAAAACACTAGTTAACCGCCCGTGCTCCGCCACGGGAATATTGTCAGCAATAAAAGACATAATAATTAACAAATACTGTTTATTTTTGTATTTTATTTAGGGGCTGCTTAATTTTTTACATAAAAAAGAACTGGTAGTTGGCCTGTATAAACTATTTTATGTTAATCAAACCGACGATATATTAGTTTAACCAAATAAATGTTTTAGTACCTGGGGACCGAGCTTTGCTCGGGAAACATTATCACTAGGTACACTATACTTTGAGAGTATTCTTTGGTCAATGTAAATCTATCCCAAAAATATTAATTTGCGGTCAATTGTTTCATGACATCAATTTAACTTCTATTAAAATAATGATATCATAGTTTACTAAAATGATGAGATAGTAGAGTTTTAACAATTTGTTTGGTTCCTCATAAACGGCCAAAACTATAGAAAATACAGTATTTTTCACGCTGAATTCGAAAAAAGGCTATCAGCAGTAAGAAAATCTTCTCACCTTCCTTCCTTTGAAGTATTAGAGCGGAATTCATGAACGTTCCTTAACCTATTCCTTGTTCCTTACCTTAACAAAGGAACAAGGAATAGGTTAAGGAACGTTCATGAATTCCGCCCTTAGTCACTGCAAGAACTTGGACCGGAACCTTAATAAGCAGCAACTTATACTATGGAGATAATTTATTCATGTAGATTCCTATATTCGTTGTTTTTTGTTCATTACATTTGTTGTATGGAATAAAGATAGTCACTTACATGTAAATCACGCATCAGCAGTTGATCGTATTTCATGAATCTTTGATTCATTCTGTGAGTAAAAGATCTGTGTTTACGTCGTATATTTAAAGTTGGACATACTTTGGTTCAATATTAGAGGGTATTGACGTTCCAATCCGATGGTAAAAGGAGTCCCGGATCTTAAGATTATATAGACTACCTCTACCAGAAAGATGTTGATGCAAGTGAGACTTAGAACTCGCCATTTCAAATGCAGAGTTGTATGATATTATATTATTCAAAAAGTTTTTTTGTTTCTTTTGACCCTTAATACTTTATTTAAAGTCGCTGTAGCCCCGTTGATAAGATTTTCAATAAACTCAAAATGTTGATAAGGAGCTCATTTTACCTTCCCCTTGTGACAACATAAGGAGAATATATTTGTGCCCATGTTAGTCTGTTCTGACTCAAAATTCATAGATTTGCAGTAGTGACAAATCCAATTTAACGACCCCAATTCAAAAGAGTTGGTGTTTTTTTTAGGGATTTATTAAATAACAAACAACATCACTGCTCTTTACTTTTTTAGTTCGATGGTTCTCTACATGTTTTTTTTCGTTCTATATGTCTCTTTACGCCCGGTTTAGGATTACCTTTTCTTTTTCTTTTTGTACATTTCACACCCTGGGGTTAATGTTTTATAATGCGTTATAAAGTTTTATAACGCTGTAATGACCCGAGTCAACATTGCCATTAACATCAAGTCACATACTTCTTCGCCAGAACCGAAATCGTAAGTGTCACAGTTTCTCAAGCAACTTCCCTGTGTACTCGAAAAAAATATTTAGGCTATAGTTCACTGATAAATTGTAGTTCCACGTATCCCAGCGTTCCCCATCTCAAAAAGGTAAAGTTTGGTACTGCTGAACGTCAAACATTGATCTTGAGTAAGATCAATCACTTAAGATAAAATGTTTGTATGTTTCCCACTCATTAGCAATTATATCTGTACAAATTGCAAGCGGATTTCCCTATGATTCTTCTGGTGGCTATAGAGAATAAATTATATTGATCAAAACAATAAGTTTCCGTCCCCTACTATGGGTTTCACATTCCATACTCAAACTTAAACTCAATTACCACTTTCCTTCAGATCACTTCGCAGGAAAACTAAAACATTGAAAAAATACAAAATTGACACCAAAACATACAAATAATGTTCAAATACATTTATAAATAATACATTGTGGTATTAAAAGTTAACAAATACACTTTTCCTTGATCAAAATCGTGTGTTTATAAACAGGAACTCTTTGATTAATAATGACATACTGAAAGTGAGGTTATGAAAATAATAACAAATGTCTGACAAACATTAAACAGCTGACAAATAATTTATTAACTGTGTATTATATTCTTCAATAAGAATTGTATTGACTCGACCTTTGAAGGGCTGTAGGTCTTAACCCTTAGAAAAAACGTGAATTCTAATGAAGTTCTGCAAATCTATGCATTATCCCCTTTAATTTGACACATAGATCTTGTGGATCGGTCCAGTAATTACTGAGAAAACACTGTTACAACTGTGTATTAAATATATAGAAGATATGCCTACCATGTTTAGCAGTTTTATGAGGCGTAAGTTACATGGTGCAAATAAATATTACTTTGCTAAAAAATGTTTGTTCACTTGTGTGTTAAATTACATTGATCCCTTTGTGATGTGAAGTTCATTTATGTATAATAAAATAAAAGTTTCAAATCTTAGCTTAGCAAATTATTCTAAAATGTTATTACACATTTTTCCATTCTCACCTACAATACGGTGTTCTCTTATGGGGTAACTCTGTAGGAGCCAAAGCCGTTTTCAAATGGCAAAGGAAAGCAGTTAGGTGCATTAGAGGAACAATGCCCAGGGAAGATTGTAAAGCAGATTTTAAGGCCTTAAATATCCTAACCCTTCCATCTTTATACATTTTAAATTGCTTACGTAAAAGAGAATAGACCAGTACCTATAGCATCCGATCTGACATACATGCACATTACACAAGAAATAGCCATCATCTCAACTTACCACTTACAAGACTTACACTTACACACAATAGCTACAAATACAATTTTTTAATAAATTGCCTCCTTCTGCAGTAACGATTCAAATAAAAAAGTTCAAAACAATCCTTGATTCATGGTTAAAATTAAAACGTTTTTACTCTGTAGATAAGTTCTTGTCCTTGGAGGTTTTAGGTATAAGTTTTTAAATAATTTATGATCAACGTTCCTGTTATTTATTCTATGACTATGTTCAATTTTTTAATGATAGGATACCATTTGACAATGTCAATTGCATTTGTAGAGCTGAAAGACAATAAAGAGATTTGATTTGATTAGCTTTCAATTTTGAAGCAGGAACCTTCCCTGGCCTATTAAAGACCTCCGTTGAAAAACCACTGTATAAAAAGGCATACCAACCACTTGCGATAACTACTGACCTATCACTCTAGTTTCAACCAGTTCAAAACTATTTTAAAAAGTAGTAATAACAAGATTAATACAATATTTAGAAAGAAATAATATTATGTTTAAGAACCAATTTGGATTCTTAAAAGGAAAATCAACCACTAATGCAATGTTTTACACTTATAACAATAAGTAGTATGGGATCTTGACTCAGGAGAAAATGCTTTAGGGCTTTTCTTTGACCTGAGCAAGGCAAGATACTGTAAATAATGATATGCTCATCAATAAACTAGAATCTATTGGAGTGAGGGGGCTGGCACCGGGAGTGGTTCTCCTCATACCTTCGAACGAGGGAACAATTCGTTGAGGTCAGAGGTATAGCTTAGACAGTTCTGGATGTGCTCGGCCCTTTGTCTCCTCTCGGGACATCGTCACTTGTGGAGTTGCCCAGGGATCTGTCCTCGGACCTGTGCTGTTTCTGATTTTTATCGATGAACTGCCTTCAAGTGTTGAGGCTGGAGAGATCTGTCTTTTTGCGTATGACACGTCTTTAGCCCTGTCTGGCTCAACTTACGAGGAATTGGAATTAAAATCGTTTATTGAAGCAAATAACATAAAGCAGTGGTTTGACACCAATTTATTAAATCTCAACTTCAACAAAACTTAATTGTTCCATTTTTCAATCCAAGGCAATCCACACACAACTATCCTTTTAGACAACGTGGAAATTGAGTGGACAGAAGGTGTCAAGTTCCTTGGTTTAATATTAGACAAACACCTTAGTTTTTATGACCATGCCGACAGTGTGTGTATGAGTGATGGTTCCGGCATCTTTCTTTTAAGATAATTGTCAAATTTTTCTGATCAGAACGTCCTTATGACAGCCTATTATGGGGTAATTTTCCCTCATTTAGTATACACAATGCCGATATGGGGATGTGAGAATAGAAGGACCAGATTTCTATTTCAACTTCAAAAGAGAGCAATTTGAACCATCTTTAACCCTCCCAGTGTTACTTGACGAAAATTCGACAAGCAGCACACTTTGTGTAGTGTTACTTGTCGATTTTTCGACACGCAGACATCGTTTACGGCGAAGGCTCTATGACTGACTGAATCGGATTGAACTGGATCGAGTTAGGTATCGTTCTTTCCGTAATATTCTAAGCTTTCTCCAGAGGTCTGTCTCTAAGCGCTATTCATTTTAGTTCCGAAAATATTGTAGCAGACAGCTGACGTGCGTGTATTTGTAAACAGCTAGGTTCCCCCGGACCGATGACTGATGTGTTTTATTACGTTTATCATTGTTTTAGTGTTAAAAATCAAAAGTAGTGATATACGTGGTGCATTATAAGAAGATTTAAGTGGTTTTGAAGTGCTGGTTGATGATCCTGAAGAAGTAGGTAGTGATATTGATGTAAATTATCAGCCAGATTCCTAGCTATGGTTAGGCTATGCATTCTTAGCTAAACGCTATGTACTGAAATCAGTTTTTTGCCCATAACTTATTTATTTGCAAATATACTTCCTTATATTATTATATATTTGTAATCCTCATAAAATTTAGAACAAAGTTGCTATTTTCAAATATTTATAGGCCTATAATTTATACAATTTAATTGAGCGCGAACTTATTTTTTTTTTGAAAATTTTCGAAATTATATTTTTTTTACCTAAAAATTTTTTTTTTTTGAAAAAATGTTCCTTATGTTTTATATATAATATTGAAGCCCATGATTTTCCAAACAAAATGGTATATAGAACATTAGAATTAACATTGTTTTAAGCTTCTCAGATCCGTTTTAATAAAACCTTGCAAATGCGCCAAAAATAGGTGGACATTAAGGCCTAAACTATGGACACTTGGAGGGTTAAAGTCAGCTCGTGAACTCCATGCAAAGATTTTTTTCAGTCTTCAAATATTTTAACTTTTTCATGTATATCTACATTCTTGAAACACTCTTTTCTGAAAAATAACATTTCCATTTTTTCAAGTTCCAGATCTTCTTTGCGAAACAGTCTTAATCTGCATACCAAAGCATTCAAGCACCTTTTTCAAAAAACATTTTTGTTATAACGGTAGCCTATAGGTAGTGTTTTTCAATGCATTGCCAACCCATCTCGAAATGGATTCAAAACCTGTTATCTTTTTTAAATCACTTCAAAGATTACTGGTGTCCAAGTGTTCCTACCGTGTCCGTGATTTTATTGCTGATGGGTAGTCATGGCCATATGGTATGCTTGGTTCATGAATTGATTAAATGTAAATATTGTTTAGTTTAATAGTTATTTTATAGTTTATAAGACAATATGTATATTTATGTATATTGACTTATGCATTACCATGCAAATCTGGCCAAATAAATTACTTAAGTTATGACTTCGGCCGATGACTAAATTTGTAGGCTTATACAATGTACAACCATCTTTAAAATTACAATTATAAATACAAATTACGGTTATACAATTGTTTGGTAACCATTTATTTGGAGATCTAAAATCCTTACAAAACATGACTACTTATTCTTACTTAGTTGCTGCCACTACAGACAGCAACTAAGTTACAGCGACTATTATAGTCCCACTGTAATAGGCAGTTCTACCCCTTGAAGGGTTAACCTCTAAGAGTTATACCTAGGCTGAAAAAATATAGGCCTACATGATCTTCGGATTTTAGAGCACAAGTTAACCAAGTTGAAAATCGAGCTGCATGAAGAATTCAACCACAAATTATATTTGCTAGAAAATGCTAAATAACTTATGTATTGATTTTGTGAACAAGAATTAACTTACTTCAGCAGACATTTATTTGGCGAATAGGCTATTATTGACAAGGGAAACTAGGTTATGGACAACTTCTTTACTTTGGACTAATATTCTATAATAGAACAAAATCACTCACCCTTCATTTTTTCATCGAGTGCTGCACTCAGATCAGGAAAAGCATAGGTTGTAGATAGAACTACAACAGATAATATAAACAAAGACCGCATATTGAAGACACAGATTACCATCGCGACTACAACCATAAACTCAGTATGAACTGATCTGAATGCTTAGAGACACCGGTTCTCTTTATATACCCCTCCTACTCCCGTGCCATCAGTTGATCCGTTGACTATTCAATTAAAGAATACAAAGGACCAAGACTCGTTGGACTGGTTTTGCAGGTTAATGATATCCATCGTTGTGCCAAAGTCTATGGACTAAGGAAAGGAGTGTTTTTCATTGTTGTTTTTGTTCGCGTGGGCGATTGACATGACAGCGTGACAGGTGGCGAGAATAGTTTTTGTTTATATCAGCTGTAATTTGACATTTTTACAGACTATTCAATTGTGTATACAAACAAAGACTAACAACAGACCTAAAGCAAAACGTAGTAGAATGTTTATGGCAAGCAGATCCGATGATTTTATTATAATGAGTTTACTTAAAAACACTAATACGTAAACTTTTTTAATAAATAGTAATTCCTTACTAAATTGAAGGGTGTTCATAAAAAAAACTTTAAATTCTAATTTATGTTGTTATTTATTTTCCCTGGCTGTATAAACAGACGGTCTCGGTTAGTAACAACGCTAAACAAGACATCCAACTCCATTCAACACTCATAATTTCGTTTACATTTGGGTTCAAATTACTTTTGTAGTGTCCCATCTAAATTGATGAAGATAAAAATATATCTGTTTTACAAAAATAAAACAATCAACTAACTAAGCCAATACTTGTCATAAAAATTATAACCAAAACGCAAATAACAAATAAACAAATCTCCCCTAATAACAATATAAAAACATTTTGTTGACGCAAGCGCTCAAACTCCACTAGTCCACTAACTCACAAAGACACAGATAAAAAGCTTCATTTTATTGGACGAAAGTCTGCGTATACCATGGATAAAAGACGTATAGTCTATGCTTATATCATTCTTTCATTCAAAGCCAAAGATTCTACGATTATCTTGCTATCATTTTCAGCAATACCCACCTAGGTACCTTACTTTAAACTCAAAACTTATGATAATTTTAAATATATGTCAATAAGTACCACTTCAAAAATCTAAATATTTTAACAGTTTTTGCAGCTTATACTTTTGAAATATAGCATGTATAGCTAAAAGAGACAGCATAAAATATGAGCCAGTTGTGCCACATAGTTGCAATACAAGACATTAAAGGATATTGTAACTTCAACCTATAAGCTGGAATTCTCCTTAAAGAAATCGACTTTTGCTGGATCACTAATTCTAAGGAAATTGCCTGCCTCTATAAAGGAGGAATCAATAGTAAATTATTTAAAGCAAAATTAAAAAAAAATATTTAATTGGAAAGTCGCCTTATACAATGAAGGAAATCGTTGAATAAATATTCATACTTAAAATGTATTTATATCTAGGCTAGTTTACTTTGACACTATTTTTGTAACCATATACATGTAAGGAAAATAAAGATGTTTTTGATTTGATTTTGATTTTGATACCTGGTGGTTTAGGGCTTCCCAAGAAAGGAGTGGGGTCTGAAGGTCCTCCTCCTGTAAAATGTTGTTTTTTAATGCAGTTTGGTGACTTTTTACAGCTATTTTCAACGTCTAGAACTGTGTCAAAAAACCTCCGTTACATTTTAAGACGAAATGTATGTTTAAAATAATTTTTGCGGGGTCCAATGCTTTTGCTCCTGTAGCCTCCCTTCCTTGGAACCGCCACTGCCACTGAATATAATGCTATGCTTATTTTATTCTCTCCTATCCCTGTGGTTCTCACCTTGCCATTGGTGACTATGGTTGGTGGACCTAACTACTTGTAGGCCGTGTTTTGACGTTCTTCCTATTTGCACACAGCGGTGATTAACGCGTCATAAAAGCGTTTAGTTTGAATCATCAAGTTATTCTTGTAGCTTGACAGAAATATATCACAAGGTTGACATCCCATAGCGTTGACAGTGTCAGCCTTATGAGACTTGAGACATGTTATTTTATATAGTGCTGCTAGGCTTTTAACAAAAACCAGTTTTCTTTATTCGTCTGTGTCCAATTACGTCATCGAAATTTCTCGAATATTGCGTTATTCGGCGTTAACTAAAATTGGTAGCAGAAAGTCAGTACAGTAAAATTACAGACAGCTGACAGAAAAACAAACAACGCAATTGTTTCTCGTCGGAAGGAGTGAAGACGGCCATTATAATTTGCGGTTGTGACATTGTCAAGCGGCGATAAGAGTTTGTTTTGAGTGCAGTTTGTTATGTTCAGTGGTCTAATTTCATCCTAATATGGAGCTAATAAACAGGCGTATTGTCTATTGCAAGCAAGATCCCGACTACACAAGTCCTTTTGATGCATCGTTCTGCAATTGTCATGAATACAAAAATGGCCCAGTGATTTGCGATTGTGGAGAAGATATAGAAGGTAAATTTTAAATTTAACAAAGTTTAAATTGTTTATCCCACTATATTAGCTGAAACTATTGTTTTAAAATAAATCTAATGACAATTCAGTGCCATTCATTGCTTATATTTTCGTATATAACTCAGTGTTCATATTACAAAAATGCTAATGTGTCCTGAGGAGCTAGGGCCTGATAAATTCAAATTATATTAACGTTTTTTTTCTTACTAACTTATTTGTTATCCTTTTGATGTTTTCTTTGACTTATTTTTTCCTGCAGAACTTTGATATTTGACTCTTAACTTAATAGGATTATCGAACTATAGAATTATTGTATTGATCTAACACTAATTTATTCAAACAACCAAAATCCAAATTTTCTAAAGGCTAAATCGAGGCCCAATAACTTATTCAGATGCTTAAAAATTAAATTGATTATTAAACACACAGTGCAATAGATCTTGTCATGCAATGCTTAGACGATTGTAAAATAACATGGGGTCGGTCAAAGGAGGACCTATACCACGTTAGTGTGTATTGTGTGACTTGCTTTGTTCACCATTCAGCTGTTTCCTGGAAAATTTCCCAGTTAAATCCCCTTCTGGCAAGCTAAGAAATAAACTTGGTCTCGTCTTTCTACCTCCAGTTGGCAATACAATGGTTCCGGCTAACTTAGTTCCAGACAGTGAGCACTGCTATCTGTGAGTGTATCAGCAAACTACGTCGACTAAATTCACAATGCAGCATGTCATTTGAAATTCTTCAGAACAGAACAAAATATTTGAAAGCCAGTTTAAATTACATGTATCCATCAAGTGATTCTAGTTTCTAGTTGGTTAACAAACTTACAGCTGTTTTGTGTAGAAATTAACACATCTTCAGGTCAAGATCAAACGTTACATTTCATGGAATGGTCGTCATAAGGCTCAGAGTTAAAAAAAAACATATAAGTTACACATACACGAAACGGTACATAAATTGGCCAAAACACAAATTACAAAACACGAAATTTAAAAAGTAAAACTGACACGTGCAATGACGTTAGAATGTTGGTCATGACTGGTTTTTCTTTAGCTCACACACTTCTATTAAAATCGTCTATGACCCTCTTAAAACTTTTCCAACGAATTACGCAAACTTACCCCAGGGGTCATTTAAGTATTCACCCAAATTGAACACTAACTTATGGTACCGGTCTAGGCCTACTTTAGAAACTAATTGACGTTGATGGTAACAATTTACTTAAATTAACTTAAATACCCTAGGTAGGCCTACCTGAAATGTGTGTTTAGATATGACAAGATTATAACTTGCGTAGTTTTTTTAATTTTCCGTGTTTATTGGAGTTTTTATGAGGGAAACTACATTAATTTTTTAATTCAAAACGTTATTTAGCATCATAAACTTTATAGTGCAAAAAATACTATTTTAAGGTGCCGTCTGTGATTGATATAGGCTACGTAATATTACTCCTTTAAAAGAAACCTGTGTCCAAGTTTTTTGTACTGAATGGTGAATAAAGCTTTTGAATCTTTTTTTTTTTTGTTAAATACAAATAACCATGACTCCAAGTTTCAAATAATTGAATAAATTCTCTGTTTCCGGTAGGCCCACTCTTTTTAACATAATTTATTCACTTCACTTATTCACGCCTACACTATTTTCACAAAGTATATTTCCCTCACATCCTAACCGGTGATGTTTTTCAGTGCATGAATGGGCTTGGGACCAGCAGCTAGCTACTGCTACGACACGGTTAAGCAATGACAACCGGGAAGTCCAGTTCCATCCGGGATACAGCTCCGGGACTGCCGCAATCCGGGGGGATTCTCCCTTTCAGCGAGGCCACATCTACTATTGGGAGATCAAGATGTTGACGGCACTCTACGGCACGGATGTGGTGAGTTGGCTTTAACACTTCTGTAGGCCTACCCGCAGGGAAAAGAAGAAGTCATTGTCAAAGATTTTTATTGTCTTTAAACACATGTGTGCAATTGACAAAGTCACAAGCATATAATGTATATAAATAGCCTATTCTAAGAAAATGAAATTAAACTAGAATCTGTGCCAAGATATAAATAATTAGGCTAGTTAATTAACTATCTGAATTTAATTTCTATTACTGTAGGCCTACTACATTTTGTTAAGAAAGATAATTTGAATATGGATTCTACATCAATAACAACTGTGGGGGAGCTAAAGACAGTGTACCACGAGTTTTCAATTTCGGACACCTCCTGTTCTTCAGAATCAGAATCAGAATCCATTTATTGTCATTTGTCAACATTACATTGCTATAGACAACGTCAAAGAACATAAGAAATACAGTAATATGCAGTATAAAAAGAAATAGTACAATGTACTTGTCAGACTAACAGATATAACAGAGTAAAACATAACAAATAAATAATTAACATTCAGCAATAAATTGATATAAACTACGAAAATTAGGCCTAACAATAAATCAACTACAACCACTCACCAAAGCATCACTAAATTAAAGCTCATAACAGATCAAATTAAAATTTATATGAACAAAATTCATCAAGAGAATAAAAAGCTTTGCTTATAAACCAGTTTGACAGTTTCAATTTAAATTGTTTAATTTCGAGGTTTCTGATCTCTTGTGGCAATTTATTAAAACACTTAATTTGTAGATATTTATGGCTGACTATTGTTTTCCGCAATCTAGAATAGGGTGGAACAATATCTTGTGCTCTTCTGGTGTTATAATCATGGACCTTGTCAAAACATATAAAGTCACTCTGGTTTTCCTTTACATGTACAAGATTTTGAAATATAAAAATGCAAGGGACAGTCATTATATTGTAGTTAATAAAGCATTGCTTACAGTCATCTTGATAAGGTAAATTGGCCAAAATCCTTACTGCTTTTCTTTGCTAAGCAAAAACATGAAGAGCACCACTACTATTTCCCCAGAGCATTGTGGCATATAACAAATGGGAGTGAAAATTGCTAAAATAGGTATTTAACAACATATTTCTGCCAACACATTGTTGAAGCTTGCGTAATAAAAAACAGGCCCTTGAAAGTTTAGAAACTACTGATTTGGTATGAGATTCCCATGTAAGCTTCTGATCTAGAGTGACACCCAGTAATTTAACAGGCTTACAAACTTCCTCTGAGTCTATTTTTTTTAAAGTAAAACAGATTGTTTCAGTCTTCTTGGCATTGACTGTAAGGCAGTTAGCATTAAACCAAGAACTGGCTAATTCCATTACTCTGTCACTGTGTGCTTTTACATTTTTTAACACTTTATCAGTAATTATAAAAGAAGTGTCATCCGCATATAAAATGGTTTGGCAAGGAATATTGCCGGGCAGATCATTGATATAGATTAGAAACAGTAGTGGACCCAGAACTGACCCCTGTGGAACCCCAGCAAGGACCTCCTGAAAAGAGGACTCAAAGCCTGCCGATGAAACCTTGTGCAATCTGCCACAGAGATAAGTTTTAAAGAATTGCATCTGCATATCATCTATCATATCATTCTACTGAAAGCCCCTTGCAATTCAATGAATTTCAACGCCAGTCACGTACTATCAACAAAATTTTTACTATTTTAACCTATTTAATTTATACCCTGTTGTGGAAGGACAGGTTTAGTTTTTAACTTATTTATTTTTACAGATGGTTGGTGTAGGAACCAAGAAAGCCCAGTTGGACAAGTCTGCTTATCAGTTTTGCAGCTTGTTGGGATCGGACAAGGAGTCTTGGGGATTCTCTTACACTGGTAAGTGACATTTTTATTGTTAAAGCCAAACTGTGATTGTTATCTCTAGACCATTAATTAATCGAAAAAAAAAGACGGTACAAAGACTGTTACCTGAAACTAATAAATATAGGCCTCTGTTTTAGCTGTTTCAGATCAAACTTTTCATCTATTTAATGATCTAAGCTCGTCGATTGAATTCAAATTCACAAACTCAATTAATTTAGGCCTGCTATTGATCAGTTTAATTATTTCCACCATCAATAAATCTGTTAATGATTTTCAATAAAAATTATTTACCTAAACTGTTGAAAAAGGTTAGGAATTATTTTGGACCTGAGATAATTGGAATCCAGTTAGATAACAAATCCTTCCTTACTGCTATGGCCGTTTTAACCCAAATAGGTTTAGGTTTTTGGCCTCTGCAAAAAAGCGCTTCTAAGTTATTCTTCTCAGTTTTCGTCTTGCTTCCAAGTTACTCCTGAGGTCTTTTGCCAAGCTACTTGGTCTTTTCAACTTACTTTAGGCCTTCTTAGCGGTCTGGTGCCTGCAGGTCTCCAGTCAGATATTTCTTCAAAAAAGCTGGGTTTTCCTAGGCGCGGAAGCGGAGAGAGGAACGCGGAGAGGGGAAAAGAGATAAACATTGTGTTCCGCTCCGCTTTTAGGAAAACAGTAACATTAAATTACCTAAGAAAAGTGGAGTCCGCTCTCCGTGTTCCTCTCTCCGCTCTCCACTTCCGCGCCTAGGAAAACCCGGCTTAACATGTTCGCTGCGGGTTACCGCCCGGGCGGTAGCTCCGCGCTCCGCCACGCTGCGGCGCGCCGCCGGGCGGTAATGTGCACCTGCCAAACTTATTCCGTTTGAGTGCAGCCGCACTCCGGTGTAGGTCGGAGTATTTTTGTCCGTGATTCGTGTATGACAGTGGCAGTTTTGTGGTGCAATCCATTTGTAATTATCGTTACTCGCTCCGAAACTATACCTGGTGGATTTTGACTCACTCATTACGTTTGTTAACTGTAATTTTGTGCTATATTAATTTTGTTTTATTGTAAAATAATGGCATCTACTGTGGGTGTTTAGCAAACTACGTCGACTCTTGTCATGAAACAGGACATCACCACACGTTATTTGATATTCGTCATACCGAAATATGAAAGCCAATAGCCCGGCAATCGGGTTTGTTCGACGCTGCGGGCTGCGCCGCACTGGAGCTACGCCTGCCATTTGATGGGCAGCAGCGAACGTGTTAAGGGTGTTTTTGGGTCTTCTCAGCACTTGCTCATCTTAATCTTCCGCACAAATATCACAAAACATAACTCTAATATTTTGTTCTAATATTGAACTTCTTTAGAGAGTAAATTGAATACAAAATCAGCTAGAAATTAGAACTAGGTTAAGATCTGTTAAAGGAATACAAATCAGCAAGGTTATCTGGGAAAATTCAGTTTGAAACTGTATCCTTCAATCTACTCACTGAAAAAGTCCAGAAGGAGAAAAGAAAATACCTATTTCAATGTTATGTTAAATGTGACCTTTCATTGTATCTTTTTCACCTCTGTACTCAGATTTTCCCAGGTAGGCTAACTGAACACTATAAATTAGGTCCCTTAAAAAAATTTCCCATTTCGACATTTTCCTTTTCTTTAAAAAATGATACTAGGTTTTGCATGTCTGTCGGTTTTCAACATTGTTTTGAGTCTTGTTTTGTTTCCTAGGTAAACTGCAGCACAACGGAAAATCTGAGTGGTACGGTCCTCCTTATGGCAAAGGAAGTATTATTGGAATCTATCTTGACATGTGGAAGGGAACTTTGGAGTTCTTTTTGAATCGTCGTCCTCTCGGTGAGTATCGCAAATTCTTTGTCGTCAAGCTTGCAAACTGTACTCAATTTGTTATAAGTTTTGATACAGTTTTTTTCATCACTGATTTTAGAAGTTTCTCGATCTGAAATCATACTCATTTTCTTAAAGTAGGAAAATAAATATAATTAAGCAAAATTCTAGTTTATTTGATTGTAAAATTCCTTACACAATCCCGTCAAAATGAGGCAAAAAAAGAGTTGGCTTGACATGAATTGATTTAATATTTCCATAAGCTACACTGAATTTTTGTGAAGTTTGAGAATATAATCTTTTGAACATTACTACCCTACTGAGGACCGTGTTAAAATTATATAGGCCTACTAAACTTAAAGGTTTATTTAGCATCTTGCACTAAAATATAAGGTTACAGAGTATGTGAAGTGTAATCTTAAGCTGTACGATTTGCTATAATTACTCTGTAGGAAAGGGACTTTTTTTCTTTCCCATTCCCTCATAATGTTAAAATACCCTTCGTGCTGCAAACCGGCAGACTAATTGAATATCCATTTGTTAGATTTAGTTTTTTTCTTAAACATGTCAGATTTATTCCCTATTTCCTACGTAACTTAGCTATCGACAATTCAATAAAAAAACACACAATTAAAATTAATGTTATTTAAATATAAAATAAATCTGATAACTGGAAGGGAATATTTTAGTGAAATCCAACCAATGGAAATTTGCCTAGTCTGTAGGTTTGCTTTGTTGGGAGTTTCCTTGTCCACTGATCTCAAGACTTGCTTCCCCCTTGCTTTTGAGTGTCTACTACATCGAGGATTCTATTCCAATGCTAAATCATCTGATACTGTGACAGAGTGGTTGGTTGAGACTTTCAGCAAACCTATGCATTATCTGTTTACTGTTTTAGTTTGACATATAAATCTTTAAGGTCAGTTTGGTAGCAGTATTCAATTTGATTTAATCCCCCTCGACATCCTGTTGCCATCTTTTCCTTAACCTTCCTCTTCTCCTTACTCCAACATTAAATTCTTACATACAAAAAACACATTTCTGCAACAGGAGTGGCATTCCGCTCTCTGCAAGGCCAGCAGTTGTACCCGATGGTGTGTTCGACAGCCGCACAGTCGGCCATGCGTGTGACGTACGCGGTGTCTCAGCCCGTAGACCTGCGGCTGTTGAGCCTCCAGGCGCTACGTAACGACTCGTACCTTATGGGACAACTGGCGTTGGTGCCGGGGCTGCGCCGGTTCATCGCGTCCACTTGGTGGATCGGAAGTGGTAAGTGCTCATGTTCATTGGTCACTGTGTTTTGTTTTACTGCATTAGGTTTTGGAAGGTTAGAAACTCTATATGTTTTGAAAGCAACTGGTGAGGTGTGACTATTGGCTAATAAAATCCACGTGCAGGGCAGGCCATTGTTCTGTTCTTCCGGGTCAGGTGGCCTGCCTCGCATATAAACCATAAACTGATCCTTTATGGTTATAAATTAACTAAGAGTTATAAAACATTAACATTAACCTACAAAGCTAGTTCCTTGCTTACCACGGCGGGAAATCAGTCTGGTTTTCAGATTGTATCCTTTATCTATACAGACTCCTTGAGTGGTTGATTTTTTCCTTTTTAAACTCTCTAATGTGTCTGTAAATATTTCTTAAAATTCTAATAGCTATTCTAATAGCTTCAGGATTGAGTAAGCCTGAAAATGGCAACAACTGCAGAAACATAAGAGTAGCAAGTGTCAAATGATACTTTATGTTGAGGTTGTCTGAGGTATGTTATGTTTATCCGTTGCCAAATATTTCTTAATCAAACTATCATTTTAGATTTTCTTGTACTCTAATCACGCTTTGCTTGTATAATTTTCTTATTTGAGATAGCTCAAAACTATCTCTTATCGATAAATTGAAACTTCCCATCATTAAATGTGTTAGGTTTATTTTTTTCTCTTAATATCGACCAGGAATGCTTTAAAAAATTTCTTCGTACCAATTATTTCATATATAATTAATTTATTCCAGAGCACCGAGACGGCAAACGTCGTAAAAATCGGAAGCGGATGCGATTGAGTTTGGGGCACGATACTCGTGTTTGTAGAACCGTTCTGTTGTAGGGAGTCGTCTGGATGAATACGACGATGTTCGGATGAGCCGTCACTCTCGTAAGCGGCCACCCGAAGACTACGACGCAGTCCCTTGCCACCATCAGGCGGCGACACCCGGAGGTCGCGTCAGGCGGCTTTGTCTCATCTGCGACATCATCCTGTGACCATCAATGCAGCCTCGCAATCCACGACAGAGCCGACAGTATTTTATTTTCCTCGTGACTGTGATTCGTCTGGTCTCCGTTGTACAAAACGATAGTTTTAGCGCGCACTCTAGTTGAATGGAGCTTTTACTTAAGTTTTATTTTTTCAAATTAATTTATAGAGTTTATTGTCGGATTTGATGCCGCCGTCAATTTTGTTATTTGTTATCGAGTAACTTTGAGTTACGGATTATCGGATAGTACTTCTTTAATTTTTATTTTAAGGTTCGCTTCGGTCGAGATTAGTGTGAGTATCTGCTGATTATAAATTTTTTTTATTGGAAACAATGCCCAGGATTCTTCAAAACAGGGTTGTAGCTTTCTGAATAGAGTATTATCCCTTTGATTTATTTAGTTTGTTACTATAATATAAATAGCAACAAAACATAATAGCTATGAATTGAAGCAACAAAACATAACAGCTATGAATTGAAATAAAAAGTTGAGAAGTGCTCATACTTTTTTATATCATTTTTTTCATGCCATTTTACTTTGTATTTGACAACTTTGGTAATATATATATTGTTAACAGCGGATGCTCTTGATTTGAGTCCTTACTTGGGCCGAAAGGTAAAAAGACAGGTGTAATGTAATCTAGTCGTTTTTTTAAAACATTAATTGTTGTTCATTCTGTTACAAGGAGAGTTTAATTTATCGATTCGCCCTTATTCAAGTACAAGAAAGGTCATTGTATGTATTCAACAGTTTTAACGTTGTGAAATTTTGCACAAACCATCACCTTCACCTATGTTTTATGTTGTAAAAGTCCAGATTTTGTGATAGTGTAAGTTTGTTTTCTCTTATTATAGACTGAGTAAGACTGAGGCATAAGTTAGGCCTAGCTTAGAAAAAACCGATGTCAACTTATCAAATGTTCATTGTTTCTTTTTTCATATTTGCCCAAAATGTTATTTTCACGCTTAACATAATATTTAGACATAATATTCACCAATAAGAGAACATCCACGCATATCCTACATCTCTTTTGGTGGGTTGGCATCGGTTTCTCAAATTTAAAATATGGGATCTCAATTAGTTGAATTTTGAATATTTAATAAAAAAAACGGAATACATCTTCGAATTTAGAGTGGAGTCATGCCGACAGTTTAGATATTTTGACTTGAAATTTTAATTGATTTAGGTCCCATTTTCATTTGATCTTATCATTTGTATATATTTTCATTTATTTTAGGGGCATACCAAGTTCCTAGGAAGTTGTTCGAAGGTTGATTTTCAAATATATTTTTTTTACTCTGAACAATCTCTTTGACTAAAGTGCGAGGTGAAACAGATGTTTTGTCGGACCCGCAATATCCTTAACTATACCATTAGAGTAAGACGCGTCGCAGGTCGTGACGAAAATAAAATACTTTGGCGAGGATCGTATAGTCGTAGCGTGCCACGTAGTTCATGTTTTAGAGTTGTGGCACAATAATAGTTAGTTGGATGTCAGTTGTAATCCGTGTTTTTGTCGTATCTTCAGGTCGGTCGCTGAACCTAGTCGTTTAGCTATGATTCTGTTTTATGTGATTGTATTAATTTTAACTTGTATGTGTTCTCGCTTTAGTTGTGTAGATATTTCGGTTTGTTGTGTTTTGATTGGTACCATGTACCAAAATGTAAATATGTGGCCGGTTTGGGAATCAGGGCGTAATATTGAATTGCTATTTTTAAGCCTTATGTTTTTTTTTTAGAAATATTGTTTTTTATTTGTCCAACCACTATGGCTATAAGTGTAACAAAATTTATTTTCAGTTTTGAAACCAATTAAAATTTAATTGATTTAAAAAGACTTGCACTAATTTAAAACTGATAGTTTGTCCACTTTTATGGATACAATTAACAATTTTTCTGGTTAATCAAGTATTTATCATACCTGGTGGTGTACAAACATGAAAAACTTAATGACTTTTTGTAGGCCTACATTAAAATAGCCAAAAATGAAAACAGCCTTGTTGTAGGTCTTCACCTACAATAGGCATTCCACCCACCGAAATGCTGAAAAAAACCATTTGAATGTATTAACTATTCTTTATACTTATGTTTTGTTTAAACTTTTCACTTATAACTTAATTACAATTATTCTCTATCATGAAATTATTATTTTAAATAGTTTTGTCAAATAATGTTTAGTGTTATTTGCACTATTAATGTTTTCTACGTTTTCGGTAATGGAACTGTCCTAACCCTGGTCTTGTTACTAACGACCTTTTGTTAGAAAACATCATTAACTGAGCCCAATGACAAATGGTATTTGTTAACGATCTTGCTTAGAATTGAACCCAGCGACTTTCAGATTTAAAGACGAGCAATATAACCACTCGGCTGCCCAAACAATTTATTTTACTATGTGTCTCGTTTACAGTTTGGATTTAAAAATGAAATAAAGTTATTACTTAAATTTCGCAAATCATATCTCAACCGGCCAGGTATTATTTGCTTTACTATGTAACCTAATATTTAATATTGTTTTTCAATTTTACACACAAAGTTGTTGTAAAATAGCTGTTACGCTATAAAATATAATGGACTATATTTTTTAAATTATGTCTGAATTATATATTGATTTTTTTAAACGTTTTATTGTAAGAATATCATTTGAAGAATAATCTAAGGAGTATTGTGGATATCATATGAGTAATGATGTTTAAGGGAAGAAGGGAATGTAGTAAAATTGGGGAAATATCACACATTGGGCACGTTCTGGGAATATTTATGCAGAAAATGCGTCGTCCTGGGAGACCGGTGAGTTTACCTGGCAGACAGCTTCGTTTTCTTTTTTCCTCCACTGGTGAAGGAAATCGTACTTAGCGTCATCATAGACGAAAAGAATTAAATATAGACTGTCAGCCGTGCTGTAATTACCATGGTTACCATAGGTTCTGGCGCACACCGCTGGGAGCGCCATGTAGTTATGTAGCACCTACGCCGTAACTACATGGCACTCCCAACGGTGTGTGCCAGAACCCATGGCAATGCAGCACGGCTGACGGTCTATATTTAATTATTTTATCTATAGTGTAAGGCAAGACACCAGAGCCCTCTGATTGGCCAGTTTCATGGACATCAGTCTGCAGCAAGATGGTGGATCCATCGAAATAATTGTGTATCAATTTGATGGATTATTATATTATGCAAATGAACGCAAGAAAATCATAAATAAACTTATTCTAGGAAGGTAAGTTTGAAACTTTAATCTAATGTGCACCGTAAACCAGTGGCTAACCGTTCTGGGAACGCAAGACTCTTGCCTCGGGGCGGTACATTTACACAGAACGCACTCTTTGTTAAAAGAAATGTCATTGAAGATCTGTCATAGACCGTAAAAGACTTAATTGTAAGTTATATTTTGGAGTTGAGCATCATGAAACATTCCCCTTCCCTGAGACAATGTGAGAATATTAAATGTAAAAAAATACTATTTAAGTTTTACTACAAAAAGTGTTTTTTTTTTATGTATACATATTAATGTATTGTTTTAAAGATTGATTTATATAGATTATAATCATTTACATTGTAATTTTTTGTTACAATTGAAAATCTCTGTCTACAACGGATTGTTTTGTAATTCAAATTATTTCTCGGTATTTGTAATTATTATAGATATATCTCAAGGAAAAATATATAGTTCAAAAGTTGATAGTGTTTTATTGAAAGTCCTGTCAAACAAATGATATTATACTGGATTGGTTATTAAATATCATTGAAATATCATTTAAATATGAAACAATGGCATTATATTTCTCTTAAAAACTTTGAATTTCTTTTCAGTCAATTTTAATCGTAAAATAGACATTGAAAACTTAACTTTGTACAGTAGAACCTCGATAGTCTCCCTATAGTTCGACAAGGGCCGCGATAACATGACATGTTGGCAGCGGCCAATGAATGGTTTGCCAAGGTCAAAAACTAGAGCCTTCGCATTGCATTTGTGCAGGCAAAAAGAAAAAAAACTCAATACTCCAATAATTCAAAGTGAAAAGCAGATTACAAACGATTTTATACAGTAAGAAGGAACAATATGTGTGGTAGAGATGTAAGTTGATAAGTTTATTTATTTTCGTCGAGTTTTTAGTACTATTTATTTAATCTGTTTGCTTTATCTTGTGTTTTAAATATTCACTGAGTAAATGTCCAATATACTCCTTCGACAACTTTAGGCACAAAGTATCGGACTATAGAGGTTCACTGTACATCTTCATTTTTAGTTTAGATTGTTATTTGAAATAAAATATCAACAATAAAGGATGGTGCTCTCGTGGTTCAGTGTTAAAACTTTCAAATTTTGATTGCACAATGGTTCAATTAAATGTTCTTACTAGGTAAACAAAGGTTTTGACACTGTCCAAATGTGTACACATTTTGAGGTATTTTAGAAAAAAGAGTATTTAAAAAATACTTTTTCACACTTCTCAACTTAATGCAAACTCGAAAGCTGACTAATTTATCCTACATGACTGATAATGTTTGAGATTGTTAATGTAAATTAAATGTTTGACTCTTATTTTAGAGTAAATTTAGAGTGTGGGTTTTGCTCATTGATGATGATACCAGAAATTTTACACATTTATTGATTTATTTGCTCAATTGTTTTTATTAGATAGTGAAATAACTTTTGAATAAAGATGGTACATCAACACACTCTAGAATTATCTGACACGTCCTTAAAATTGTCTTCAGATGACACAACCTGTGGTGTGGGCTATTTAATTGTTTCATTTATAACTGTATCCGGGGAGAGGGAATTAGTGTGTTATAGCTTGTATTTGTTCAGTTTGCATTTGACTAGAAACTGGTTTTAATGCTAATAGACAAACTTGCTTGCTTTACATGTAATACCTCGTTTGGCACATTTAATATTACAGTTAAATCAGTATTCAGTGGAATTTCCGTGTGTTTGGCAGTGTTTTCTAGCAATTGGTAGAGGTCAGTGGCCTGATACCTTTCTTTACTCTATTTTAGCAGTACTTATGAAAATATTCCAATAATGGCGCAAGGTGCTCAGTTATCCAGCATTTTTTTGTAATCAAAGTCCTAAACTTGTCAGCTTAGCTAGAGGCTTTGGTACACCCTTGCGTCCACTCTTTTCGAGTTCACTCAAGAACATAATTTCACCGAACATCCTTGATTTTATGAATGAAAAACAATAATCCTAAGTTAATGGTTTTGAAATCCATATTTTTTAGCCCCTGAGCTGATCTTGTGACTAAATCAATAAATAAGGTTACCTTCGTCAATCAGCTCATAGAAGTTGAAACATTGTTACGGCCGTTTCAGCATATCCATGCCATCATCAGACGTTCAGCCTAAGTGGCGTCGTTAATATACAAAAACACAAACTGTCACACGCGACGTACACATACATAAACATAAACGGGGGTTTTTTACTAAAACAGTCCTGTTGATTAGACATATCCGCACAAGAGCAAGTAGCTAACTAATTAATTTCAGCTACTTGCTCTTGTGCGGATATGTCTAATCAACAGGCCTGTTTTAGTAAAAAACCCCCGTTTATGTTTATGTATGTGTACGTCGCGTGTGACAGTTTGTGTTTTTGTATATTAACGACGCCACTTAGGCTGAACGTCTGATGATGGCATGGATATGCTGAAACGGCCGTAACAATGTTTCAACTTCTATGAGCTGATTGACGAAGGTACATTATTTATTGATTTAGTAAATGGTTTTGACCTTTATTTTTATTGACAAACAACACCACACCATTACAACACTAAAATCATTATTCAACAAAAACAAGGAGACGTATATGCAGATCCACAACAGACGTAATGCAAATTTTTGAAATTGCGACGCAAAATTACAAAGTCAAAAGTACAAAGAACAATTTGAACAGAGTAACAGTGGCTTCATATGTAAATGTAGCATATTGTACACACTTGTATATAAAGCAATGAGCAGTGGGCAAGACAATACTGGTTGTACATCCAAACAAACAACATGTTGGGGATTTCGCTAGCTACAGGATTGTTTTTCTTAATTTCGGTTCGAGCAGAGCTGGATTACATTGGACCATGCAGAAACACCATTCAGACTGATCCTAACGTAGATTTTGAACAGGTAAAGCTCACTTATTTTTTATTTATATTTGCTATCATATTTCTAAGTAGTTTTGGTAAAAGGGTCGAGTGTTGTAGAATTTAAAATTGTTTAGTATAAATTTACTTTCTAGTTGCTCCCCTTATTTGAATCACCGTGAAAAGTATAAATTTTAAATATTACAATTTGTTTAGAATTAACAAATTAAATGAATTCATTAATGTTTCAAGTCCATCAACATAAATCCATTATAACTTATTAATATATAACTAACATTTTTGGTAGTTGATTGATAATCGGAAAGATTGTAATCACTATCTCAACAGCAAACCTGAACTCTTCATTTGCGTCAATTAATTTAAAATGCCAATCAAAGTGATACTAATTTAAGTTTATTAATGTGATAAAACACTTACAACTTTCTGATTGAATAGAATTTTATATCAGGTAAAGGTTGAGTTGGAGAGAAAGATGATTGTTTTTTTCTTTTAACTCATTCCAAGTTGCTATAAGTAAAAATGTCGAGCTTGGACAGAAAAACAAGTTTCAACATAAAAAACATGACACTATGTTTTAAGTGTTTAAATACAACCAAATTGTATACTGTATATTACATTTGAGGGTTTATTTTGAACACCCTGCGCTCAGTACCTTACATGTTTTGATACTGCCATTGTAAAATCTTAAAAGTATTAGTTTTCCTTTATATTTAAAAATTTTTAGGTAGTAAATACTTGAAGGTAATTGTAGGTAGGTTGTTTTACTTGAAGATAATCAATTATGCTCTTGTATTTAAAATATGTGTATGTGAAAATTAATTCATAGTTATTCTTCAGTTTGCAAAGGAGAATAATGGAAAATGGAACTTTGTCAAGATTCCTGATACACCGGCTCTTTCTGACATTTCCAATCTAGAACTTACCGTAAACAAGGGAGAAGATGGGATGTACAAATCTACTATCACTTCTGCAGTGTAAGTGCCTAGAATTGGATATTTTTTTATTTGTATGAAAACTGTATTAACACTGTAAATTAAACCCCTCAGATTATTCAATGATTTTACGGTCCTTATTTTTTTATGTTTTTCTTTCATTTTATGAATACACAAAATGTAAATTGATTTAAAACCAGTTGTTGGTTGGCCTATACAGAATGAATAAAATGAAGTAGGAAATACTTTATTTGAAGTGCAATTTATAAACAATCCATTCTTAAAACAATAAATGAAATAACAAAGCCAGAAGTGTTAATTTTGTATTTTTACAGTGCACAGGGTAAAAAAAGATTACTCTCTGACGAGACAATAGAAAATGCTGGAAATGGACTGCTTAAAGCTACAACTAAAGGTGAGAAAATAGGCAGTCGGAATCATTTATCAGTCGGACTTGGACACAGTAAGGTACAGAAGAAACATTTAATGGTGCACTTAGTGGTGTCTAGCACCAACCGCTTCTCCCCTTAACCACAGAAAACATACTACTATAACCCAGAACGCCAACCGCATGGTAAAAAGCATTAAGTGTTTTGAGAGAGCTTTGCCTGTCAATTCGTAGGCAGCACCATCAGCGTTGCTATGCTGAGTGCATGGCAACGCTGGTGGCGCTGCCTACGGATTGACAGGCAAAACTCTCTCAAAACACTTAATGCTTTTTAGCATGCGGTTGGCATTCTGGGTTATAGTAGTATGTTTTCTAAGCCTTAACCCCCCTTGCCGTGAGAAGAGGTGGTTAAACCAAACTGCTCTCAAAACAAGGTCGGTTAAAACAATCCGTAATTTTAACTAGCGAGGGTGGATAATGCAGGACAGTTAAAAGGGAGTCTACTGAATTACTGATGTAGTGATTAATTTTTATTAATCCAAGAAGAGAAAATATCTGATAAATGTTAACGAACAAATTTTTGTTTTACACTCATTGCATTAATTTTTTTCAATAAAAGGACAGCATATAAAATAACGAAACTATTTGTGTTTTACTGCACTATCTTCCAGGCAGAAATCTATGGCATCTTGGCTTGTGCCAATCTAGGACTAGCCAGACGGTACCAAGACAAAAGGATAGTGATTTTATCTGATTGTCAGGCTGCTCTCAAAGCTCTTGACTCAAATGAAGTCACCTCAAAACTGGTCTGGGAGTGTTTCAACACCCTCTGCAGACTTGCATCACAGAACTCTGTAACTCTCGGCTGGGTCCCAGGCCATGTAGGCATTGGCGGCAACGAGAGTGCAGACAAGCTGGCAAAAAAAGGTGCGAGCATGCCACTCTTTGGACCAGAGCCATTTTGTGGCATCAGCAAAGCGGCCGCTAAACATGTAATAAACAAATGGTCCAGGGGACAACACCTTGAGCGTTGGCGTAATTATCCTGGACAATCACTTGGCAAAAAACTGCTCTCAGAACCTAGCACCCCCTTCACTCGCTGGCTGCTAAAGCTGGGGAGAGGGCAGGTCAAGCAGGTACTTGCTCTTATCACTGGACACGGCCATTTCAGGAAACATCTCCACACTCTAGGAATTGTCAATGACAAGCAGGAGTGTCGACTTTGTAATCAGTCCGATGAGACTGCTAAACACATCATTCTGGACTGCGATGGACTACGGGCTAGGAGAAGGGCTCTGTTTGGTCTAAAGCAGCCAGGTGATGAACCAGACGCTAACATTGGGCAAAAGCTCCTGCACCTAGTTAGGGACACAGGTATAGGCTTACCCAGTTAGTGGCAAGTGGGATGCACAATAAGCTTCGGTTGACGTGCTTGGACCTTGAGTCCACCCTCACACAATCAATCAATCAATCAAACCAAACTGCTCTCAAAACAAGGTTGTGTTAAAACAATCCGTAATTTTTCACTAGCGAGGGTGGATAATGCAGGACAGTTAAAGGGAGGGTCTACTGAATTACTGATCTAGTAACCCATTTTTATTAGTCCAAAAAGAGAAAATATCTGATAAATGTTTACGAAAAAAAATTTGTTTTACAGTCATTGCATTAATTTTTTTCAATAAAAGGACAGCATATAAAATAACGAAACTATTTGTGTTTTATAACACACCTGTGGTAAAGGAATAATGACAGTTTTTAAGTGCTAAATCTTTTATAGCAAACTTGTATTTTTCAGATGGAAATGAGTTTCAAGTGTACTTCTTGAAATACAAGCCATCAAAGTATGCATATTATTTTGTCTGTGGAAAAAATGGAGGTAAGAAAAAACCCTTAGTGATCAATAATTGATATAGAACTCTCAAATTTTGTTTCCAAGTTTTGATGTGTACTCTTGATAGTTTCTCCGACAGTCTTAGTTTTCATGGATTTAGTATATACGTAGCTTTAAAACTTAAAAATTGACGAGCTGTTGGCCCGTCCTACGTATGGGAATCAAGTAGTCCATTAAAACTGTATATAGTTATATCAAAATGTCTAATCATAATTCAAACATAGTTTAAGCAGTTCAAAATTTATTGTAATGAAAAACTGCCAAGATGAATTCGCTTTTTCCCAAACTTTTGTCAAAAAGTCAAGTAGAAAAATAATTTGTATAAGCTTTCTTTTGAAGACTCAACCCTGCATGTCATTTCATTTTCATCCAAATGCTGAATTTGTGTCGAAACACTGAATGTTTACAGCTGTTACGTTAAGCAAACGGTTAAACCAAAAGCTAGAGTAGAATGTTAGTGTCACCTGCTAGACTTTTTCAAATCTAAAACTTAATTTCTAAAAAAACTTAAACCCTAAACTAAAATTATGGCTTTAACATTCCCTAGATCTCAAAATTAGCTTTCTTTTAACACAAAAACCATGAAAATCCGTCAGGTGGTGGATTCAGAATCGTGAAATAAAAACACCCTGTCAAATTTTAATATACAGGGTGAATAAAAAGTCAAGACCCCTCCTCTAATATTTTTCCAAGTAAATATACAGAGATATCCTTTTGGTGGTCGTGCAATCTTATCAGAAAGTTTCATTTTTTGATTATGAAATTTTTGAGTGTCCCCCCAAAAGGGGAGATTTGGGGGGCATCTCAAATATTTTAAATGTAAACCCCCTACAAGTGACACCTCATTTTGAAGTGTTTACAAAAACTTAACGGATGGTGAAAACTAGAGGTCGCTATCTCTTCTGTATCCAAAATGGTAGCCCGTCAAATTTTGTGGAAAATCAATGGTAAAATTGGTTCGTAATGGTAATATTGGCTACCATTTTGGATAGAGAATAGATAGCGAACTCTGGTTTTCACCATTCTTTAAGTTTTTGTAAAGACTTCAAAACGAAGTGTCTTTAAATGGAAGTTTATGTATACAATTTTTGAGTGTCCCCCCAAAAGGGGTTTAGACACTTCGTCTCCATCGTAAGTATGAAAAACTAAAACTGAAAATTAAATTACAATAATACACTACCTATACACTTAGTACTGTATAGGTAGTCAAACATGTTTCCTTAGTTGAAGTAAAAAAAAAAAAAAAAAAAAAAAAAACTTTTTATAACTGGCTCATTGTCCACATATATAAAATGTCACCGTCAATATCCTAAGTCAATGTTCTTATCTACAATTTATTTAGTTTTAAAACTGTCTTTTGTTGCAGGGGACAATAATGTTGATTATCGTTATGTTCTTTCACATGAACCGCTATCAGAAGAAGATTCAGATGACATTTATAAATTGGAAAAACACTACAACTTCAAAGGAGATCTGAAGGAAATATACACTGTGTTTTATTAATAAACTGTTCAGAAACAGTTATAAATGTTTCAAAATATTGTGCTAAAAAATGTATAGATTTATGAATTTACAATAAAATTGTGTTTGATATTTGTTCAAGTATACTTTTATTAACGTAGACGTAAAATAGTTACACTTTTACCATAGAGGTATTATAAATCCTGTGCAAACATGTGAATATATAGGGTTTTCCTAGCCGTGGAAAAGGTATTTTCTGCTTATCCAGCGGCATTTTGCTCTGTTTCTTGGAAAACAATAAGCCTACCATTAAATTACTTAAGACAAGAGAAGAGCGGAATTTTTATTGAGGATTTAAATATGGATTTAAGTGTTAAACAAAGTATTGGATTTTTTACTAAAGACTAATAAAAAAAATTGAGTGAGTCGCAGCCGTTTTAGCTACAAAAACCGGTTATGGATTTTAATTAGAAAAAGGGAATAAAAATTTGTAAAGGTTTTGTAGCATTACGTTCTTATTGTGTACTCTTTGTTCTTTAATAATATTGACTTGTTAAGGAGTTACCTTTGCTACAATAATACAATAATATTTTTAATATTTTTTTAAGTACAATAATATTTTTTTAAGTTTAAGCATAAAGAGAAGGAAGTTAAAACCTTAGGAAAAAGGGAATAAAAAAATGTCAAAGGTTTAGCAAGATTACGTTCTTATTGTGTACTTTTAATAATGCTGACTTGTTAAGGAGTTACCTTTGCTTTAAAGATACAATATTTTATAAGTTTAAGTATAAAGAGAAGGAAGTTTAAATCTTCTGAAATCCATGGATTTTGTAAATTTATCCATGCTTATTTTGTCTTTATGGATACAAATAGAGGTGGGGCGAAAACAACGCAACGGTTGTTTGACAACGGTTGTGGCGCGGCAGACGTTGCACAACTAAACGGTTGTGTAGAGCTGGCAGTTGTCGACAACGTTTTCAGGGAGTTGTCGTTGTCGTTGTCCACAGCTGCGCGACTGCTAAACGCAACGCTCTACAACAACTGTTTGGTTCGGTTGTGGTTGTAGGCTGGCCAGTGGCGGCCGGCGGGCGTTATCCAACTAAACGGTTGTGTAAAACAGGCTGAGGCAGTTGTATTCAATTGTTTCGCGGCGAAGTCGTTGTCGTTGTTTGTACCGAGGTTACCTGAAAAACTTATTTCTTTCTTATCGTTACCATATAATAAGATGCAATTCTACTAGAGTATTCTAAGTTTGTCGTTTATTCATGATCAGTTTAGATTTACTCCAACTAAACAATTAAATTTCAATGAATAAAAACAATAAATTTTTTAACAATAAATAAATGGCAATAAATTTTCAACAATTAAATTAAATTTCAATTAAACAAGTTAAATTTATAATATTTGAAATTAAAACCGGTTTTGTTCACAGAGGACATCCATGCTTAATAGAAACTTAAAATTATTATTTTATATTTATAAACTATATAATACCTATTAAATGATCTCTAGGTTTCACACGTAAGTCATGCATAGCAACAGGTTACTAGGCTAAGGCCAATTTAATTCCTACAAGCATTTACTTTCTATAACTAAAACAAAATGCAAAATAGACATTCACAACAGTCGACGACAACGCAACCGTCTATTCACAACCGTTGAGCTACTAAGCGTTATCGTTGTAAACGTAAACAGTGCACAGCTACAACGCAACGTCAGTGCCAAGGTCAACAGTTGTCGACAACCGTTTAATTAAACGGTTGTCGCTCCGCAACGGTTGTGTGCACAACGGTTGTGTGATTTTGGCAGTTGTGCCCATCCCTAGATACAAATTTTGAAGTCATCACAGTTAATTGATTATTCGTAGGACTCTCCAGTCCCTACCAGACTCTCTACCTTGGCCCAATGTGAGGTTGCCCCACACCAATGTTAGCTCTTAGGTCAGAAAAATGACACCTGACATTTAAAAATTATATTTTTACATTGAAAAAAATTGTGGTAGGGTGTGTTTTTTGATGGTGTGTAAGGCAAAGTCCGACACTATCGCCTAACCCCTCTCGCTATCACGCACTTACAGCATTCATGCTGGAGGGAGTACCCTGTACGATAGGATCTTCCACAGTGCTCGCGATTGGACTCTTCCTAGCTCAACACAATCATATTGACCATGGCGTGTACGTTCGGGCATACACAACATTAGAGCAGAAAGCGCATTGTCCCATAAGTAAGTTTCCTCTGTGGTTCCTGAAACAACTGAACTGAAAACCTAAAATGTTCCCATAAGTAGGTTGATCATGAACTTTAGCATATGGTTGTAGGTATTAAAAACTAAACTTTTTACTCTTATTCTCCGGAAAACTATTTGTGGATTATGGTGTGATTCAGAGTAAAACTTTATGGCCTTTCCTATTTTGAATTTTATCATAATCTCAAAAATAAATCGGTCCCGAGTCCAGGTCTTACCATGAGTACTACGGTTATAGCTTATTCCCTGTAAAAGAAATTTGCTTAAAGTTATAGAAAGCGCAAAAAAGGGGGAATCTGCTATTTTTGGGCGTGTATGGTGCATCGAAATTCAGATTCGATTCAGCTGTGTTCAAAAAACTACTCGATTCATGAGGAAGTCAGTATCCATTTTCCATATACGAAAAAACGCCTGCTGAAAGTCAATGCAATACAGTAGCGTGTTGTTGCGTTTTCTTTGCGACGGCGTTCTTATTTAGTTAATTCTTTGCTTGTAAATATTGCTTTAATTGTTTTAATTTTGACATTGCAAATGATAACGCGTGTTGTTGCGTTCCCTTTGCAAAGGTGTTCTTATTTAGTTAATTCTTTGCTTGTAAATATTGCTTTTAATTGTTTTAAATTTTTTATTTTGACATTGCAAATGATGATAAGTTTTGCTAAGTGTAAGCAGTGTGAGACATGTTTAACTGCTGTAAACATAGCCAAAACAAGTCACTCCAAAACCATTCTAAAAATAACACAAGTCTGAAAAGTTGTTACTTGATACATTTGTTTTGACTGATAAATTTCGTATTTTTGTAGGTCTGAAGCTATGTAGGCTATACCTTGTAGTTTGTAGGTCTGATTCTATCCTCTCATTTTATCAATATAAACCAATTGAAAGTATCACTATTCACTATAGATCTTGCAAATGTTTTTATTTTCAGGCAATAAGCCCTTTCTCTCCAAATCTAAATTATGAAATAGGCAAGTGAAGCAGCTCACTGACATTTCTAGCAATACAGGTTCTTCTTTTAATAGCCTATATGATTGAAAGTAAATATTTTTCACCAAAAATTCATGTATGAATAGGACTAATACCACATCAACAAAAATTTTAATGCACAAATGTGGTAAATTGCTTATTGTTATTTCTATCCATTGACAAGTACGAATAGAAAAATGCCTTATTGCTTTGAATTGAGTTGCATCAATTCAAATCGAAAATCTTTTGAATCAAATCAAAATTATTTTGCTGCTTCGCACACCCCTAGCAAATTTCATGTTAATTAACTCTGTTCATATACTTTCTGAAAACGCAGATTATTTCTTAATTTAGCATTACCTAGTTAAAAATGAATGTAAGGGGAAAAAAATGTACATACAAGGAAGATAAAAATTCTACATATATTTTAATACGTTTCATCAACTTCAAAAGGTCTACAGAAGGGAACATAGAAATAATAAAGACAATAGGTGGAAGTGGCCAAATTATACTATGTAATACAAAAAGCGGTAAACTTCAAATAAATAGTGCAAAACAGTAGAAAGTTATAAAAATCTATTCGAATAGTTAAACCTATCCATTACACTAATTTAACAGATGAAACACCACGCTGTGTACCATCTTAAAATCAAACAACCACACATTTAAAATGATTTCATTCATGCATATGTACATTTATTTATATATATTATTTATATCTTTGTTAAGAGACCAGCTTTTACAGTTAAGTTACACACTTCACAACCTCTTCAAAGTCCTTTTTTTATCTTTTAGAGACTTCTTCTTGTCTGCCGCTAACTTCTTGTCACCCGCATGTTTCTTAGCCATCGGCCCTTCTGAACTCTCGAGTCCAGGTTTTGGCGGCTTGGGGGCCTGAAAATTAACACAATAGAAATTACTGATGGGAGTGACGGGCCTTTGAAAAAAATCCTAATATCAATTTTCAGACAGAAAGAGATCCAAACATAGGTATTTTGTGTTAAAAAAGTTATAATACCTACCGAAAAAAAAACATGGGAAATTTGTCAGAGATTACTATTTTTTATTACTAGAGTCAAGTTTATTACCAAGCAGCTAAGCAAAAACGCAAAATAAGTAAAGATTAAACAGTTTCAGCAAATTAACGCATGCTTTCTTTCATAAGCTTTAAGTTCCTACTGTGTTTACAAGCAAACCAATTAAATACTGGGTAAATAGAGAGAGAGAGAGAGAGAGAGAGCACCAAGAAGCACCTTAAGATATATGGGAAAAATCCCAAAAACTGCAAAACTTTTTAAGCATAACCTTTACAGAGTTGTTGGTGTGCCATTAAGTTGAGAGTTAAAAGGGCTACAACATAGTTAATTTTAATTTTTTAAATTAAAAGTGTTAGAGCTGTTTTTATTTATAAAATGTTTTCATTATTTAATGGTGATAATAAGAAAATACTCATTTTATATGATAATTTTTCAAGCAAAATTAAAAATATTGCTGCGGGTTTTCTTAACAAATTAACTGCTACTAAAAAACCACATTAAAAAATATATAATGTTTCCGGCAACATTACTTAATTCCTACGTTTGCCATTTTTTACAACTTGATCAGCTCCAGCGAACAATAGAGCCTCTTGTGATCTGGACAATATCGTAACTGTCCCCCGCAATCACAGCAAAATCCACAATAGCGTAAACGAAAATGAGCATTTCTTTAGCTTCTCCCACAAATGATGACATTACCGATAATAGAACTGTCCGACTGCTGTTTATGAATGGACGATCAGCCATAGGCTATTGACAATAAATTATTTCAAATTTCCAGGTAACATGCAAAACGTTTGTACAATTCACAAACTTATGCCCAATTTTCAAAACTAACTTAATTACTTATTTTTCTGTTAGAACTCATCCTAAAACTCTACCCTGTA